TGTTACACACCGTGACTCCGACCCCCACAGCAGCCCCTCATTGTGTCCGGGGCTCCGAATATCGCAAATCGCGGGCCCGGCCCCGTTATTGGAAAATGGGCTCCAAGGGCTCAGAGGGACATGGAGCCGGCTGGCTGTGTGTGAAGGCCCTATAAAATAGAAACAGACAACCCTTGTAATAGCGCCCTAATAGAAGCCTTGACTGACATTTCAGGTCACGGCTCTAGGGGTGGGTGGCCGGGCCCCGAGTCCAATCGGCCCACTGATCGTTGGTCCCGAGGGCTTCTTCGGTCCCTCCTCGGACCTCGTCAAACAAAGCCCGTGACCAACTCGGGGCCACTAGTCGACACAGGACTCCCTGTTAGGCATTGTGGGCCCCCGACCGCCAAAGAGGTTCCATTATTTCAGGGACCCAGACCAATGCAAGTCGTGGCATTGGTCTGGGTCCACGGGTCCTATCCTCACCCCTCTTGAGAAATGGACCCTTTTCAGACTGCAGGGAACCAACTGTTCGATGTTCGTGGTCTCTGGCCGACTGGGACACATGCATTGTCTCAGGGGGTCGTCAAACGGTGCAAAAGGACCTGACTGGCATTTCACGCCGACATATGTTCATATCAATTCAGGGGTCCCCGATCGGCGCAAAAAGCGTTCTGCCATTTGAGGGCCCGTCTCCGCAGGTCGGAGCCCCTGAATAAGACTTCGACCAGCCCTTCGTCCCGTTCAGCTCTCCAATCGGGCCCTTGACCGCCAGTCCCGGTGGGCCCCCTAGGCTCTTCGGGCCTTCTCAAACACTACCTCCGGCCGGCTCACGGCTCTTGCCAACACCAGGCCCTCTGCTGTCAGATCGCTGTGAGATCCAGACAGACGCTGCGCTTCGACCTATGTAAATCGCTAGCCTCTGCTTTGCCCCTGCTCGGGTAATGATACATCAGGCCCCTGCCGACCGTACGTTGTTGGTGGTGTCTGACAGACATATAGGCCCTTATCGACCCAGGGCGTCTGGTTAGCGCGGCAGAGCCCTCTCGTTTGAGTAGGAGTACCCAGCCCTGCGGGCCGGGTCCCTGAATACGACCACCGGTCAGCCTCTCGGGTCATTCGAGCCCTTAATCATAGGTCTCGGGGAGCCATTTGAGCCACCCAGAACCTAAGTGGGGGAGGGGGCACGTGCCCCCTGCTTGCGTTACTGATACACTCACACACAAACGTCCGTAATGCATGGACGGCTCTCATATATCCGTTGGATTCGTTTTTTGTGCCATTTCAGTCACTTCAGCTTTCGATGTGGCACAAGGAGGCCTGTCACCAAGTGCAGCACACCTGAACACATTCCTTAGTAGTTTTGTTGCTGAAATATTGTGCTAGTTGACGAACTTCCTTCACCATCCCGAGGCTCTCCCAATACTCCATCACGCTGAACTCACACCCACCGAGGCGTCCAGCAGCTGACGTCGGTGGCGCGCCGGGAATACCACACCTACATCCACACCGATACTCAAGAATCGTAACTGTTCCGTTCGGGCACACTCCTCACGCAGCTGTGACCACCCAGCAATCCGGCCGACTGCAATGTCGACAAACTGACCGGGCCCAAACTGCAGGATAAACAGGAGTCGTGGAAAACGGTGACTCAGTGTCGCACGTCCCCTAGCAGTTGCACGCCGAACCAAAGCTTCAAGCGGCCGGCGTGACACGAATGTTCTCAGAGTGTAAAGATGTTTTGCATGTAATGCGCCTTACAGATTCCTTCCATTACGAAAAGGACAAAACTGTTACAAACAAGCCTTCATTCTGTCAATTTTATCCGGCTTTCGTGTCCTGTTCGAACACTACAAATCCGTGAGACTACTTGAATGGCGCCATTGTTAAAATGTGCAGCCAGTCAACTGGCTAGCAGCGGCCACACCCACCTGGGCGGTGCCTGTATTGTGGCCGCAACATGATACAGAGATGGGAGCGGATGCGCAGTGTGTGGCATTGATGATTGTGAATGTGACATGTAAATCACAGCCAATTATTTTGCGCTAACATGACTTGTGGAACTTGACGCAGCTCTAAATAGGGTGACCATTCATCACTTGGCACAGGAAGCAGAGCAACCAACTGGCCAGAATTGTCCTGATCACATCGGTGCCATCGCCTCGCAGCATGACTCGGTGTGGGTTCGCTGGGCGGCACCCAGCATGTCAACTCCGGAGGTGGGTGTGCCCACAGAGCGGGTCACGGATCGGACCAAGCCGAGATCACACACACGGACACAGACACAGGCACAGGGACAGGGGGCCAGGCACGCGAGGGCGGCGACAGCTGGCCGCCGACGCCACAGCCGTCCTCTGCGGCGAGCACCGACCAGTCCGCTTGTGGACACACTGCGCTGGCTTTGGCGCTCTGAAACATGGGCCGCAGCAGTCACACACCACGAGCGGAGCCGGGCGCGCGGCGGGGCGGCGCTCGCTGTCGGGCGCCGCCGCTGGTCCCACCGGCGCCGGCGGCGGCCCTCAGCTCAAGCTTCTGCCACGCGACGCCAGTCGGCCGTCGGCAGCGGCCGCGAGGTGCGCTAGAACCCAGCGTCTGGCGATGCCCCGGCGGGGTCGGCCCGGCGCCCTGCACTCCCGCAGCGCGGAGATCGTCCCAAACGGCCCAACTGAACGACGCTTTGGTGCGAGCCATTCACGGTAACTTGCTTTCCATGCTCATTCACAACCTTGACTCCTTAGATTCTGTCTGTCTGTCTGTCTGTCTGCCTGTCTGTCTGTCTGTCTGCCTGTCTGTCTGTCTGTCTGTCTGTCTGCCTGCCTGTCCGTCCGTCCGTCCGTCCGTCCGTCCGCCTGTGTCTGTGTCTGTGTCTGTGTGTCTGTGTCTGTGTCTGTGTCTGTGTCTGTGTCTGTGTCTGTGTCTGTGTCTGTGTCTGTGTTTGTGTCTGTGTCTGTGTCTGTGTCTGTGCATGCCTCTGTCTCCCTCTCCCTCTCTCTCCGTGTATATATATATATATACAATATATATATATATATATATATATATATATATATATATATATATATATATATATATATATATATAAGGGACGTGAGGCTATAGGAGGCCAGGCCATGAAGCCACCGTGGCAGTACAGAAGCATAGCCAGGATAAAGCTGCCGTAACAATAATTCTCCTCGGAACAAACGTTTTTTGTCTTGTCGAGCCCACCCAAAGCTCCTGTGCACACGAAATAATTCATAAATCATGAAATTGAATGAGTCATTGCCAAATACTTCGAAACCATTCAAAACCGCGAGGTTACTATCATGGAGCGTTATCAACAACGCATCTTTCGCCCCGGATTCCAATATTTTCAATCTCGGCCTCACACATACGATTCGTCGGCAACTGCACCGGGGTCCTGCGCGCCGCACACATTAGTGGCGCGGTCCAGGCCCATTAGACCTCCCCCAGGTCGTCGTAGTCTGGATGCAACGCAAGACACTGCCTGCTACCATACTACAGCCGACGAGCCACCGACTTTGCTGTCTCCGGGAAGTCCGTCGAGTTTTACTTAAGCGCAGATGTCGAGAAACTTGAGCGGGTTTTTCGTTGCTGAATACAACCATCGTTTCATGACTGATACGCACAACGTGTCCAAAGCAGCGATGCGCTGAAAGCTTGACCCACCCACATAATTCCATATCCGCCACCCGTGTGAGCTGTTACTCATACTTCCGTATCTGTCACTCGTGTAAGCTGTCACCTTCCGTATTCATCACCCGTGTAAGCTGTAACACCGCATCCAATCGTTTGCCTTTGTGGAGCTAATGGCGGCACACTCCCCTCCATAAACACGTGGCAAGCGGGCACCAGTATAGAGGACGGCGGATTATAACGAACGAAGCACGTTTTAAACCAAAAGCAATGACTTCAGCTCGGACTTGTCGAGATGACATTCGAAAGTATTCATATCGCAAGTCTCGCTCAGCAGTTGGAAGATCATTCTGCTTTTGAGGCACGCATGTGGAGATTGAGTCATGCGACCAGTACATACCCAGCACACCTTGGTATTCATGCGCCGTGGTACATCTCATCACACACAAGGCCTGTCTGATTTATGGCGCTCTGCGGTGTGACGAGCGCAGAGTCGCTTGACGCCCATGCATGAGCAGGACAAGATCTGTCCTTAACCATCCGTCTGCAGCGCAAGTTTAGGTTGAAACAGCGGGTGTTTGTCGCGGCCATTGTACCGAGATAGCCTTCGAATGCAAGCTCGGCTGTGCGTAGAGTGACGGCCCGTCCGTGTAGCTGTGCCCCAGCAGACCGAGAGTAGCCAGAGGTCGTGTGCCCGTGTGTGCGCGGCGCTGCCCGCGGCCGGGCGCCACCCGGCCCAGCGGCCCCGTGCGGACCCGTCTGCGTACCTGGCTGAGCTGGGCCGCCCGCTGCACGTGTGACGAAGCTCAGTCCGGACGGCCAACACAACAGCCGCGCAGTAAACAACCAACAACGCGCCGCACGGACACAACACGGCCGTGCCCTGCCGGCTGGAAAGTCAGGGCACAGTCAGCTCACTGCTCTCTCAGTGTCGGCATCATCACCACCAGGGGCTCACACCAAGACTTTATTCTAGACGCCGGCTATCATATACGGATACATGCGCGCACGCAGCCCAGCCGCTGGGGGCGGGCCGACTGGCCAATCAGAGGTCGTCCTGTGCGGCACGTCACACACGAGCGGGAGTGCGATTGGCTGGAGCCACCGCGCGGCTGGCACCGTGCGGCCCGACTCCCGCCCATGCGTATTTACACCGATCCGGGGGAGGGGTCCGAGAACACCACGAGTGTGGCGCGGCCGACCAGCACGCCAAGCCAGCTCGGGCCGCCAGCATGAAATTGAGCCAACGTTCACCAGTTACATGGATGCGGCGCCGGCGCATCAGGCGCCTGGTCAGCGCGCGGGGAGGGGGAGGGGGCGGGAGTGGGTGGGCGGGGGTCGGGGCCAGTGGGGGGGGGGGGGGGGACAGCGACCGTTGGCGACGTCTACCGTGTGGGCGGCGGAGGCGGGGCCGTGCCTCAGCCGACCGTGGGCGCCACCAGGGCCGGCAGCGGTGCTGCCAGCGGGTCGGCCGCCAGCGCAGGCCCGTCGGCGTCTGCCGGGACAGAGCAGCGGTCAGGGGGGCGCCCGCAGCCTCCGGTCACGTACGCTCACAGGTACACAGCGCTGGGACAAGCCGCGGCACACACGCCGCCTTAGGTCACTGTCACTTGGCTGTCACTACCGCCGGTACCGCGGCAGGCGGCTGGAGCCAAAATGGACAGATACCCATCTGAGTGTAAGCAACGCACACGTGCCGACAGAATTACAGGTGATGATGTACACTTGCACTGCCTTTCAGCCCGATTTCACACACGTGACGCCACACAACTCCAGTCGGACGAACGCCAGGGATCCATCGACCATCTCCGACAGAGGGGATGCCATCGACCCTCTGCCACACCGAGCCGGCGGGCCGGCTGCCTCTCACCGATGGGCTGCATGTACAGCAGCAGCAGGCCGGCCGGGCCCAGGTAGTAGTACGGGTCGGGCGGCGGGCTGCCCGGCGGCGGCGGCGGTGGTGGCGTCTCCTCTGCACCCTCGTCCTCGTCCTCGAGCAACGGACGGATGACCTTGATCTGCCAGACGGGGGCGAGGGGTGGGAGGGCTGTTGCGGCGCACATCACATTCGCGCAATAGCCTCTAATACAAGCTGGAATTCAGGTGCACTTCTATCCAATTCGCAATAACAGCGCGCAGCACCATTTCCTGCATGAACACGCTTGACGATATGACCGGCTCCCTTCTCGCCCTCGGAGACAGCGGCACGGGACAACAGATCCGCGTGTCGAGCCGCCATCGCCGCTCCCTTCACCAGCCGCCCGCGCGGCGCGCTGACGTACGTCACACGGCGACCCTCCTCACCTTGATGTCGGGCCATCGGCCGCCGCGGCCGCGCCGGCTGGGCGGCGACGGCGGCGGCGAGGGCGGCGGCGACGCCTCGTCCTCCGACGGCGAGCCCTCGCCCGGCCCGTACCCGTCCGCGAAGCCCACCCGCTTCTCCAGCCGGTCCTTGCTGCCGGACGGAGACGCCGTCGGTCAGCGTCGTCGGGGCACACAGGCGATGGGGACCACCAGAGATCTGACCGAACAGCAGCTGGCTACCACCGGCGTCGTCGGCACGTCCGCCGACCAGTGTGGAATTCACCAGGCTTGAGCTATTGGGAGTCGCGGTGGGAGTGGAACGTGGCTGACAGGGGGCAAATCTAACTCAACTCAACAAGCATGCGGTTTGCATCAAAATAACGGTGGGCTACGCATTCGTTAAGCGCCGGTCCGACAGCCGTCTGGGCCACTGGACGGGAGCCACCCGTGGCGCCACTGGTCGCCCACCTGAAGCCGTCGATGACGAGGATGCTGCGCTCGGCCGGCGGCAGCGGCACGGGCGAGCGCGGCCGCTGCTGCTCCTCCTCCTCCTCCTCGTCCTCCTCGGCGTCCGGGTCGGAGCCGGCGAACTCGGCCTCCTCCACATCAGGCACCTCGGACATGGCCTCCTGTCGGTGGAGGCCACGGTCAGCCGCCGCCCGCCGCCAGTGCCGTCGACCAGTGTACATTCTAACACGATGGCGGGGTGGGCCAAAAGAGGCGAAGGCCCAACGAATTCCCACCGGCCGGCCGACGAGTGACGGCAAAGCGTCGCGAATACGATGGCTGCCCATCCGAGCCCCGGTAGCGGCTGGAACACCGTGGGATACATGGAACACCACGGAACACCATGGGTGGGGACGGCATGCGTGACGGCCATCACCGAGAGCTCCCAGACAGGGGTGGCCGGCTCGCCAATCAACGGCGCGCGGGCTCCGCCCACCACGGCCGCGGAACGGAGCCAGGCATACAGACTGAGCCGAGCATACAGACTTTGAGACAAGATACCGGCGACCAGCCTGGACCGGACGAGCCGTCTGGCCGCCGCCGCCGTGGCGCCTCACCTTGAGCAGCGCCTTCTCCTCGTCGTCGATGTCTGGCAGAGACGGGTCTCCGCCGGCAATGGTGGCCTCCAAATCATTGTCCAGCTTCTTCTTCTGATGAACATAATCGAGAAACGAAATCAGTAAACGGACACGAGAAACAAGGCAGCACCAGCAAACGCTCAAAGCACGGACCTATCGGCAGAAAAATGGGAGAGAGAAACAAAGAAAAAGCAGCGTAAACTCATGTTATTACATAACATAAATTAGTGAACAAAACATCAGACGTCCCTTACGCTCCTGACAAAAACCTGTCAACGTCCGTGACAGGTGACTGTCCACTGGCTGCCATCAGCAGGACCAGGCTGAACGGCAGCGGTGCTCATCAGCCCTTCACCTACCTGTCGCTTGGAGAGCTTGCCCGCCTTACGGCCGATCTCCTCTTCCGTCTCCGCCTTCTCTCGCTTGCGCTTCTTCTTCTTCTCCTTGCGGCGGCGCCGGACGGCCGGCTGATAGAGCGGGAAGTACCAGTTAGGCGGCGCCGTCGGCGGCGGCGCGGCGGCGGCGGCCACCTCCTGCGAGAGCCGCGTCAGCGTCTCGGTGATGTGCTGCGCTGTGGCCGTGGGCGCCGGCGCGGCGGTCGGCGCCGCGGCTGCCGGCGGCAGCGGCGGCGGCGGCTGGTCGAACTCCGCCGGGGCGTCTGGCGGCGGCAGCACTTGCAGCATGTTGCCCACCTGCACAAAGCGCGAGCGCTGCACGGGCGGCGGCGGCTGCGAGAAGGGCGGCGCGGCCGGCGGCGGCCGGCACAGCTGCTGCGGCGTCGGCAGCGCCATCTGCGGCGCCAGGCCGTGCTCGAGCGCCAGCCGCTCGTCCAGGGACTGCCGCGCCGGCGCCGCCATCGCCACCGCCGAGCGCTGATTCAGCGCCACGTTCCACAGGTCGTCGTTGAGTCGCTCGTCGGTCAGCTCCGAGTCACTGATGGTCGAGTCGGCCAGGCTGCGTTGCAGGCTGAAGTCCTTGGACGGCGGCGGGTCGTCGGTGATGGTCACCTGGCGCAGGTTGGACGACGGCAGCGGGATGTGCTGCGGCAGCGGCAGCGGCGGCGGCGGCAGCGGCTCGACCGCCGGGCACACCGGGTAGGATGACGGCAGCCGGCTCCAGTCCGGGCCGCCGCCCTGCGTCGAGTGCGGCGCCGTGCGCACCGGACTGGACGAGCCGGGCCGCAGCACCGGACTGAGCCGCGCGCGCCGGCCCGGACTGCGCGATCTCCTGCTCGGGCTGCTGCGGCCGCGCGCGCGCGGACTGCGCGACCTCCGGCCGGGACTGCCGCGGGAGCGCGCGCGCGGACTGCGCGACCGCCGCGGCGGGCTGCGCCGCGCGTGAGATTTGGGGCTTCTGGAGCGTCGGGCTGGGCTGCCGCGTCCGCGGGATCTGGGACTGGCCCCGTGCCGTGACCGGGCCGTGGGCGACCTGCGGCCGGGGCTGGCGCGTGCGCGGCTCCGGGGACTGCGCGAGCGCCGGCCCGGGCTAGCTCGAGAGCGTGACTTGGGGCTCCTCGAACGCCTCGATGTGCCGCTGCGAGAGCGAGATTTGGGGCTCCTGGAGCGTCGTGACGTGCCGCTCCGCGAGCGAGACTTCGGGCTCCGGGACCGGCGGCCGGGGCTGCTGCGAGATCGCGACCTCGGACTGTTCGATCGCCGCCTCGGACTGTTGCGAGAGCGAGACTTGGGGCTCCGAGACCTGCCGCCGGGGCTGTGACGAGATCGCGCCTTAGGGCTCCGGGACCTGCCGCCGGGGCTGTGCCGGGACCGTGACTTTGGGCTGCGAGATCTGCCGCCGGGGCTGCTTTGGGCTCGAGATTTCGGGCTGCGAGACCTTCTGGTAGGACTGCTCCGCGAACGAGACTTGGGGCTCTGTGGCCGTTTCTCATGGCTCTCCAGAGACTGGGATTTGGGGCTTCCAGACCTTCCTCTATTGCTTTTGGAACGTGGTTTAGGACTTTTGGAACGTGATTCGGGGCTTTTGGACCGTGACGTAGGACTTTGGGACCGCAATTTGGGGCTTTTGGGCCGTGACTCAGGGCTTTTGGGCCGTGATTCGGGGCTTTTGGACCGCGCTCTGGGACTCTCAGACCGCCTGTCCGGACTCTGAAATTGCCTCGCAGGACTCTCGAGCGCCAGCTCCTTGGGGCTAGCCTGTCTGAGCTGGGGAATGGCAGGAGACTGGAGCTCAGACCGGGGGGAATGCTGAACCATCTGTTCCTCGCTCTCGCTGTCGGTCGACGGCAGGCTCTCCTCTGGAGGGCTAGCAGCGCGCGGCGGACTCTCCGTCGCCCACTGGCTGGCGGGCCGGGCGGCGGTCGGCGACGGCGACGGCGACGGCGGCGGTAGCGGGCTGGGCGGCCGGGTCGGGGAGACGAGCGCGACCGGCTCGGATGGTCCCGCCTCCTCCCGGCCGTCACTCTGACCATGCCCCACCCACGCCTCCTCCGCCTGGTGTGGGGGAGGACTCGCCTCAGGCGCCCGTGCCCCCTCCACGTGCGGCGGCTGCTCAGGCGACGGCGGCCGTTCCACGGCCGGTGGTCCCGGCGGCGCGCCCTCGTCACTGTCGGCCGGCGACCAGCGCGGTGCCGCGCGCACCGCCTCCTCCGGCTCGGCGAACGCACCCAGCGCCACGGGCCGCAGCGTGCGTTTCGGCGCCAGCTTGATACCGAGCCCGATCGGCTTGGGCGGCGGCGGCGCGCGCACCGCAATGTCCGAGACCTGCGGCAGCTCGCGCGGCAGGCGCGTCATGGCGGCCGGTGGCGGCGCCGGCGGCAGCGCTGGCGGCGGCAGTGGGATCTCATGCGGCACGGGCAGCTCCAGCGGCAGTGGCAGCGACGGTGAGTCGCCGGCGGCCGGCGGCTCCGGCTCATGCCGGCCGGAAGAGGGCGGCAGAGGCGGAACGGCGTCAGCAGCCCAGGCGGCCGCCACAGCCGCCGGGCTGTCGGGACGCGCCGCCGCCTGGACCGGGGCGCTGGTCTGGCGGGGCGATGGGCTTCGATGACGGCGCGACGGGCTGGGCTTGCGACGCGGCGAGCTGCGAGAGCTGTATTCCCGACGTGACGGGCTGGATCTACGCCGTCGTGGACTGGATGGGCTGGACTTGCGACGGGCAGGGCTGGACTTACGTCCTGATGGGCTGAACGTCCGGCGAGGTGGGCTGGACGTGCTACCTCGACATGATGAGCTGGACTTGCGACGAGATGGGCTGCGCGGGCTTAACTCGCGACGAGGACGCGATGGGCTGGACTTGCTCCGTGAGGGGCTCGACTTTCTGCGCGATGGGCTGCCCCTGAGGTGTGAAGGGCTGGACCTCCGACGAGACGGGCTGCGGGAGCTCGACCTGCGGCGCGTCGGGCTTGATTTGCGCCGTGACGCGCTCGGCGGGCTCCGTTCGTGGCGTGACGGACTGGCCCGCCGACGCGGCGGGGAGCCTTTGCGAGGCGGCGATGCACTCGACGCGCTGGGCTGCCGACCTGACGGGGTGGATTCCTGACGCGGCAGGGTGAACTCCTGACGCGGCGGGGTGGGCTCCTGACGTGGCAGGGTGAGCTCCTGACGCGGCAGGGTGGACTCCTGACGTGGCGGAGTGGGTTCCCGACAGGGCGGTGTGAGCGGCCGGGGCGACTCCTCCCGTGCCGGCGCAGGGCTCATCTGCGGCGAGGTGGGCGAGCCGGGGTCGTAGAGCGAGCTGGGGGAGCTCGGGTCGTACGGCGACGAACCGCCGCGCAGCACGGGCACGGCCAAGGGCGCGGGTGCGGCCGCCGGCTCCGGGAAGTCGGTAAAGCGGCGGCGAGCGCGCGGTGCACTCTGCGGCGAGTCGCGCGCGGCCGTGGCCTCCTCCTCCGCCTCCCAGACGGCCGTCGGCGAGTAGCGCTGCTCCGACACCAGAGGCGCCGGCGCGTCCGCGTTCCGGGCGCTGGCCGGCGCAGGGGATGGGCAGCGCGCGGGCGCGCAGTCCTCCTCGTCGCTGGCCAGCGGCGGCGACGGCGTCGCCTCGTACTGCAGCGCCGCCCGCGGACTGTAGAGCTCGGGTGACGGCGAGCGGCCGCGAGCGACCGCGAGCTCCGGCGAGCCGGACCCTCCCGACAGCAGACCGCTTGGCGCCATACGAACCTCTGCCGCCAGCAGGCCACTGGGCTCCATCACACTGCTCGCCGCCAGCAGACCACTGGGCTCCATCTGACCACCACTCGCTAGCAGGCCACTGGGCTCCATCTGACCACCACTCGCCAACAGACCACTGGGCTTCATCTGACCACCACTCGCCAACAGACCGCTGGGCTCCATCTGACCACCACTCGCCAGCAGACCGCTGGGCTCCATCTGACCACCACTCGCCAGCAGACCGCTGGGCTCCATCTGATCATCGCTCACCACAAGGCCGCTCCGCTCTACCTCGCTATCGGTCTGGTCGCTGGCACTGTCAGTCGAGTCGCTGGTGCTAGCGCTCGCGCTCTCGGCTGAATCGCTCGGACTGTCCCGCCGGCGCCGCTTGTGTGACGAGCGCCGCTCGGACGGGCGGCCGTCGCGCGAGGGCCGCCGCCGCCGCCGCTCCGAGTCACCGTCGTCGCCGCCCTCGCGGCGCGAGCGCTTCTTGGAGCCGCTGCCGCCCGCACCGGCGCCGTCGTCCGAGTCCGAGTCGTCGCTGGTGTCGGATGGGTCGCGCTGGCGCGAGCGGCCCTTCTTTTTCTTCTTCTTCTTGGACTTTTTCTTCTTCTTCGGCGACTCGTCCTCGCTGCTGGACTCCGAGGAGGTGTCGGCGGCCTTCTTCTTCTTCTTTTTGGAGTGGCGCTTCTTCTTTTTAGGCCTGTCCACCGATTCGTCCGAGTCCGAGTCACTTTCTGAGGCAGCCTTCTTGTGTTTCTTCTTTTTCTTTTTCTTCTCCACCCTGTCCTCATCAGAATCATCGTCACGACGCCTATCCTTGTTTTTCTTGCTCTTTTTAGACCTCTTGGACTTCTCTTCAGCTACCGAATCATCTGTATCGTCGTCTGCGGACGTGTCCTCCTTGTTTGCGGACCTACGTTTGTGCTTCTTTTTACTATCTTTGCGATCACCGCCTTTTTCCTTTGCGTATTCAGCCCGATCTTCTGACCTATCTCTCCTGCTACGCTTCGCAGCCGGAGACTCTTTCTCAGCGCCGCCTCGGACATCCTCCTTCGCCCTGCCTTTCCTGCTCCGGTCTCCCTCACCGTCTATTTTGTCGCCTGTGTCCCGTCGATTGTCGTCAACCTCTCTTCTGTCTCGGCCAGAACGATCAAAACTTTCACTTCGTTTTCGACTGACCTCTTTCTCCTCCTTTCTCTGCTTCCATGTTCGGTTGTCCACCTCTTCTACACTTTCCCTCATCTTGCGACTGGGTTTTTCGCCACCTTTTTTGCCTGCAACTTCTCCATCTTCCGTTTCCTTCCTCTTGCGGCTCATCCCTTCATCGTCACTTCCTCCCCTCTTACGGCCATCGCGCTCTACACTATCTTTCCTCCTTCTGACCGCCACATCATCGCCACTTTCGTCTCGCTTACTCTTATCCTCTTCCCCACTTTCTCTGCTCTTTCGATCGGCAGCTTCGAAGCCACTTTCTCTATCTTTGCGGCTGTTCTCCGCCACACCACCTCCACTCTCCCTCCTCTCGCGGTGACCAACTTCCCCGCTTATTTTCATCTTTCTGTCGGCCGCTTCACCGCCACTCTCCTTCTCCACACTTCGTTTCCCCTTGCTACGGTTCGACTCCTCCACACCTTCCCTCCCCTTACTAAGGCTCACCTCCTCCATACTTTCTCTCCCCTTGCTACGGCTAGCCTCCTCCACACTTCCTCTCCTCTGCCCGCTCAACTTACGATCACGATCTTGTTCCTGCCTTCGGATCATCTCGTCAACACTGTCTTTCCGCTTTCGACTCACTTCCTCGCCGACGCTGTCCTTCCTCTTTCGACCCTTTTCCTCGTCATCGCCCTTCCGCACGCCCTGCTCCACCTCCGAGCCGTTGACAGAGTCCCTCCTCTGTTGGGCGGCCTCCTCCTGGGGAGGCCGCTCGTCGACGACCGGCGGGGACTCCGCCACCTCCTCCTCCTCCTCATGTGCCGAGCCCGGCTCGGCTCCGCCGGCCGTGTCCGCCTCCGCCAACTGCGGCTCCTCCCGCGTCGACGACACCTCCATTGGCTCGGAGCTGGTCGGCTCCTGGCTGGCCCCCGTCGCCTCCCGCACGGCCGCCAGCTCTGCGGCCGCCTGTCGGCCATTCTGACGCGGCCCGGCCGTCGCCTCTGCGTCCGAGTCCCACTTAGAGCGCGCCTTCTCGTCGTGCTCAGGCGGCGCGACCTCGTCCACCTCTGGGTCGCGAGAGTACCACGGCCGCTCGCGCAGCGGCTCGGCCGGGCCGGCCGGCGTGCTCGGCTCCGACCTCGACCACCAGGCCGCCAGCTCGGCGCGCCGTGTCTCGTCCACCTCCGCCAGCACGCGCTTGCGCGACTTGGTGCGCGAGAACACGCGCAGGCTCTCGCCGTACGTCACGTGAGGCCGCGTCTTGGTGGTCTTGACCGTCTCACGCGGGTACTCAAGCGCGCGAGTGCGGCCCACCACGCTGACGTACACGATCATGCGGTGGTCGTACTCGGGCCGCAGCAGCGGCGGCTCCTCCTCGGGCGACGAGTCGCGGCCGGCCGAGCCCGAGCCGGAGGAGCGTGAGCGGCGCCGCCGCCGCCGGCGCCGATACTGCTCACGGTCGTCCCTGTCGCGCCGCTTGCGCCGGATCAGCTCTGTGCGGATGTTGCGGATGTCGTCCGGCTCGTAGCCGCCGTCCTTGTACTCGCGCCAGTCGATCGGCAGCGTGTCGGGCCGGCGCCGCTTCACCGGCTCGGGGCTGCGGCTACGGCTGCGGCTGCGGCTGCGGCTGCGGCTGCGGCTGCGGCTGCGCCGGCGCCGGCCGCCAGACCGGGATGCGCTGCGGCTGCGGCGCCGCTCCTCGGTCGGCTCGGCGGCGGCGGTTGTGGTGGCGACGGCGGAGGCGGCGGCAGCGGCGGCAGCGGAGGCAGCGGCGGCGGCGGCGGCGGCGACGACCGGCGGCGGGGCGGCCGCCTCGCCCGCGGCCGGCGTCAGCGCTGGCTCCTCGGCTGCCGCGGCCACGGCCGCCGCCTCCACGGCGGCCTCGATGCTCGCCTTCTCCTCGGCCACCTGCGCGTCGCGGTTCTTGGCCGCCGCCATCGATGCCATCGAAGCCATGATGCTGGTGGCATTGCCGATGATGATGGCCGAGCTGGGCAGGTGGCCAAGGTTGAGCGTCTCGCGCAGCTCCTCCTCTTCGCGCTTGATCTGCTCAATCAGCAGCGGGCTCCGCTCGCGCTTCTTGCGCCGCTTCTCCTCCTCCTCGGCGGTGGCGGCAGCCGTCTTCACCGGCTTGGGCGGCACCGGCGGCTTCTTGATGGCGCCCTGGCGTGCCGCCGAGAAGGCCAGTAGTCGCTTCTTGGCCTGCTCCTTGCCCAGCACGGGCGGCAGCCGCTTCAGCACACTGGGTGCGATCTGCGACACGGATGTGGGCACGACGACAGGCTCCGGCGCCGGCGCCGGCGGCTGGGCGGCTGTCGGTGCGCGGGCCGCCTCTTCGTCCACACCACTGTCACTGTCGTACATGGCACTCGGCGAGTAACGGCTGAAACATGACGTCACTGCCATCAGGGAACATGCAGGCAGCCCGCGACACCGTGGCACCCACCGATCGCCAGGATTGCATTTTGCGCCGCGCATTTCGACACGTCGACTTCGAGCAGACCTTGCATGCTTAACGGCATCCACAACGACACAGAAGGCCGACTCACACTGACACAGCCCGACTCTGGCACCGAAAATTAGACACGGGCAACAATACAACACACGAACGGTTTTCCAAAAGGGCATGGTGACCGGTGCTAGCACCAGTCGCCAGCCAGTAACTCACCTGTCATCCTTGTGTGGAGCGCCGGACGAGAAACTGGCAGAGGCAGCCGGCGGTGCTGCGGCCGGCGGCGGCTCGGTGGGCAGCGACGGCGGCGGTCCGGTCGGCAGCAGCGGCGGTGGCAGCGTGGCCATGAGCGGCGGCGGCGGCTGCTGCACCGTGCGCGGCGGCAGTGGCGCCATCAGGGAGGGGATGGGCGGAGGCCGAGCCGGCAGCGGCGGCGGCAGCTGGCCCAGCATCGCCGCCGGCGGCACCACCGGCGGCGGCTGTCTGAAGTTAGGCGGCGGCAGGCCGAGCAGCGGCGGCAGGCCCAGCGGCGGGCCCGGCGGCGGCACGTGCGGCGCCGCCGGAGCCGGAGCCGGAGTCGCAGCCGCAGCCGCAGCCGCAGCCGCAGCCGCAGCCGCAGCCGCAGCCGCAGTCGCAGCCGGAGCAGGAGCCGGCGGCGGCGGCGACGACGGCAGCGGTATGTCCTCGCCAGGCAGCGGAATGTCCATGGTCTGCAACAGTGGCTGTCATCAGCTAATGGAACAATGAGCCTCATGTTGCATGGTGAACAGAGGAAAGATATTCAAAATCCATTCATGGTCCTACCTAGCCTGTGCCATAAAATTGCTTACACTATAAGCATGAATATTATTGTAGGTCAAAAATCATCACAAATAGCCCAATGTAGTATTGATCTATACATGCAGTAGAAACGAAAAGACATCACTCCAAAAGTTAAGGACTATTCCAGATTGGTATGGCTTGAGTCCCCGAACATGGCAAAGACATCTTCTAACTCCATATGTCATCCACACTATGCTATCCAGTAATAAAATCAATGTAAATAATTATGACAAATCATTTAAATTTTCTGCAAATAAGAACATTAACTGTCCCACATCATAGTACCAATGAGCATATGGAGCATACTGACTCATTTCCATAAGGCAGTAGTCGACACTGTGCCATTATATGACAAACATACACAGTGGCATAAGACTGTTAGCACTATAATATATTTATATTATTGTAGACAGCATATATATATGGTAAACAAATCTTCATACATTGATGTCACATACACAACTTCAAGTGTGCCAAATCCCACACAATCTATATTAAATGTTAATACTATCTAATACCATCAGCAGATACAGCATGATCTCTAAAAAATAATGCATGATCACAAGCCTGGAACTATTGATCTATAACCATTGATCAACTACTATAACTGATAAATAATGCCTATAACATAGGCATCCAAAAAGCTTCTGATACTGCATTTCATGCTTGATCATTACTGCAACAAGCAATCTCAATCTTTCAACCTTTTAATATGCTGCAAGTAATTTCCCATGCAGTTTTCTGGGCACAGGAAATGGCCTCTGCAAAATGTTCTGCTTTTTACTTTAGAGGAAGTTCCAAAAGAAGCGTAAAAAAATATTCAGCCATTTTCCATCAACATGAGTTTTGTACCACACCATTATTCACTGGTGTACATGTGCTATTGCCATGTTCTTTCCACTCTTGAGTCAAAACTTTGCCTGCAGACAATAATTTATTGTCACCAATGCATAGGATTTCAACATTTGTTAACTAGACTGACAAACATTTCCCAAGTTTTGGGATGGTACTTTCAAGCACTATATGCAGCTCGTGAAGGAAACTATGATCTCTGCAGGTATGACATTTCACATCCCTGATTTACCAGTCTGCAAGGAAATTGCCAAAAATGGGCCAGTCCAGCAGGTTTTGACAAAATCCTGTTAGACCATGGGCAGGGCACAACCTCCAATAAGCAACAGGTTATCAAAATTGTGTAGCAGAAGTTACTGAATTTGAATAATAAAGATATAAATCATGTTTTACAATATACAGAACAAAAAGTACCACAGAGAATTATCACATGTTGTGGTAAATCAGGCTTATGGGAGTAGGCAAGTTGAACAAAATCTGTCCCAATAGGGCAGCTTACATTCCTAATAAAGACAGAGTTTTACCTGCTCCTTACATATCACAAGCATGTTTGCTATGGTTTGTAGACTGGAAAATGCACCAACATAACCAAATTCACAACAGCCACACCTGCACATCATAACTATGCCCAATCTTGCTATTAAATCAAAGAACAGGAGCCCATTAAAGGGTGTTCACCATATTTGCATGGATGTTTTAAACTGAAACAGCAGCCCTGGAGACTTGTGCAGTTTATAGCCCTACCCTCCTATGACTTAAACCCCCTCTAGTTTCTCAGCTACACACCCACCAAGACATGCAAATTATTTCAAGGAGACTTGTTTCAAGGTTAACAAAGTACCATGATGCCATAATAATGTCAATCAAATCCTGTCATGCCAATAATCATGCAGCAATCCAGGCCAAAAAAGGTGATTACTGAGTTGATCATGTGACATTTGTGAGCAAAATTTTCAAATATGATGACTGTCAATTGGCTCTCAATGTTGTGCGAGGCTTGATGATGTTATCAATGTGATGAGGAACATATTTACAAAGCAGAGAAATTATGTTGTCTAGAGAAGTCTCCATCACTTTAAAGCAAACCAACATTATCAGTGAGCTTATTTCATTATATCTGATGCTCGCACCTGCATCTTCAGATGTGGAACATCCCCTAAGAGCATGGCTTGGTGTCGAGATTGCACTTAATGCATAACAAATAACAGCGCCATTTCTGAGGATTCATCTGCACATGCATTGTCTCACTCTATATCCACAAGCTATTCACCATCCTCCATTTACCTCTTCTTTTCAAAGGACAACGGTCCTTTCGGAACAGACTTGACTCAAAGGGACAAGTCTGCATGCACTCAACACGGCTTCCTCGTAAACGAACGCGCATACATACTTAACTGAAATCCGAATAAATCACGACACCATCCCCCGACGCGCGCAGCCGGGGAACGCATACGCGGCGTTGCGGCAAACCCCACGCATCATGGCCGCGCTTTCAGCATGGATGGAGGACTAAAGTGCTGCTGGAAACCTGGCGCGTCCGGAGATAATGTCATGTCTCAAACGTAATACATCTCTCGTTCCCAAAAACATGTCACTTTTGATGCAAAATGCATAGCAAGACTTTTGTTACAAAAGGGCTACACCATCAGCATTCTAGGTGATTACACGAACCCAAAAAAAACAGATAATTTAATGCCCCGACATTCAGTTTTAAATCTCATTCTTACTTGAATGAGGACAAAACTAGCGTTGCAAAAGTTTCTTTTCAAGAAGCACATATGTCGACCAATGGGAATAATGCTACTGTCGTGCCCTGTTCTCTATCGCTACGCAACTATATATAAACCTATCGTAACGTGGATACCAATATCACCTACACATCTTCAAAATTTCCTTACTGGAATTGGACCCATAGCCGCCCATAATTTTCCTTAGGGGGGTGGAGGTAAGGGTCCCGTTCCGGAACAGTCAGTTTCGGATTTTTCGATATCCTTGCAAACTGGGACCAAGTTTGCACGATACCGTCCCGTAGCTAATGCAAACCTCTATCAGAGAGGGAGAGGGGACGCACGGTTCTGTTATCCCTTCCAGTGGCCGCGTCAAACACTGCAAAGCCTCTTGTCTACCCTCCACTTGGCTGACTGGGAGCTAAATATGCATCCTTAAAACAGTGTAGGGGAAAAGTTTCTGGCAGAACGGACCCTACCTGCATGGTTTGATGAAGTGTGGCGTAAGTTTACACGCCTATATCAAAAACGAAAACAAAAACGACTATTCGGTATGCCCGATTATTCACACAGGAGTTCGTCCATGGTTTACATAACCGTTGAAGAGTTGGTACCAATACCAAAAAAGGGTACCTAGCTGTGTTCCATATTTGCATGAGATTTTGAACTGAAATGGCCATCTCGAAGGTCATTGCGTGCAGTTCAGTCCCGTCCCTCTTAAAACCTAAGCCCCTTTAACTTCTGGGTTACACGCCCGCGATGTGCAAGCTATTTTACAGACAACCAGGCATCGCTGACGCCATAACGGCGTCATTTCAATCCTGCCACACCATTGGACGGGCAGAAATCGAGGCCAATGTAAACAAAATTATCGAGTCGTTTATATTTGACGTTCGTGATCACAATTTCCAGATATCATGGCCGTCAATTCGCTCTCAATCATTGTGCAAGGTGCGATGACGTAACCACACAATGACACTTTGAGGAGCATATTTTCTGAATAAAGAAATCGTGTTGTCTTGAGCAGTTTTGAACATTAAGTATGCACTAGTTATAAGTGAGCTTACTTAATCGTATATGATGCTTGCTTCAGTATCTTCAAATGAGGAACATTCTCTTTAATTTATATGGCTGCAGCCGCAGGCCAAGCGCCAGAACACTTACATTTCATGCCTGCCTGGAGTTTGTTTGGGATAACGGTGGTATTTCGGAGTGCATCTTCAGCTCCTTCTTGGAGGAGGTTATCAGGTCTTTATACTTGACGGGCCCCTTTAGTTTAAGGGAGTATCCAACCATTTTTGTACTTTTCACCAACTGTTGCCTCAAACGCGTACGATTTGATCAGTAATACCGGTTTTCTAGAAATACTTCTAAATAGCTAAAAATGCATTTTTGGAGTAGCCGACTCTGCGGGAGAAATGTCACTCCTGTGACATTTCTGCGACACTCCTGTGTGTGCTGTGTAATGTTTGCAACACATTAATTGATTCAAAACGTCTGTGTAAAAAATGGTGCAAAGGCTTGAAACACGGTTGAAACACACCGACGAGAACATAAGCAAACATGAAGGTATTATACCGCGAATTCGACAAAAGATTATCCTATGGCTTTGATTTTTCCCGTACCATATCGCGTTTATCACAGCGGCTCTTTTCGAGGCGCACTTCGGCGTTGGGAATGTGAGCATCAGAAGATGCGAAGTAACGCATCAGTTCAGCCTTCAACCAATACGCTTCTCCGTAACAGGTCCTCACCGCCCGCTAGGCCAATCACAAATGCTCTTTTATTCGGACCAGGAGAGGTGGCGCGGTGGTTGTCATGGGGAGGGTGGTCGCGACTGCAGGGAAGAGGAGTACTTGGTTTCGCTTGAGTATCTTTTGAAATATGTCCCACAAAGGACACTCTCTTTAAAATTGAGTGAATCAGCCTTGGAATGGCGTCACGGGTAGAGGGGGGAGGGGCATTGGGGCTTTTATGACGCACTCATGAGCTGCTGAGGCTATATGGCGTCACCCACCTCTCACCCTGGCAGGACGGGTGGATGCCGTGGGGAATCGAAACCCGTACCTCCGGTTTTCCAGTCGTGCGGCGGTTGACGCAAACACGTTAACCACTTCAATATGGACAGCCTGTATCACGGGGAAGAGGTGGCATAAGCATAAATATGCAATACGTGTTACGATATTTATGGACAGAGCAGTGGGCTGAGCTAAACATATAATACCCAACTCTATTTTCCTAGAAATGGGAGCAGATTTTGATTAGAAACGTCACTTTTGGGAGTATCATATGGCCTGAAAAAATACTGTCATTTTTTGCTTTACCATCGGTCCCAGTTCCGCTAGAGCAACCGTTTTATTCCTTTCGCATTATGCTTGAAAAAGCCAAAACTTTGACATGAGCAAAAGACACCAAGGACGCAGCTAGCAAAAAAACGAAAACAAAAACAAACAAAAACAACAGCAAAAACAAAACAAAGCAAAACCAAAACAAATGAAACATGGTGGTATTCTGCCCTTTTAACAATTTTTCATTCAGGACCAATCTTCGGTGGACCAAAACGAGCATCGTGACGTGTACTTTCAGAATTTAACGGCACAAAATAACACCATGGTTTCAATCCTTGTCGTAGGTTACTGGCATATTTATTGAGATTCGAATCCACACGCACTGTTTCTTAAACCAAAGACATCCATAAACTGCTTTGAAGGCAATACAGGCAATGAGCCCAGCAGTGACTTAGCCCGGGGGGGAGGGGGGGGGGGGCTTTGAGTCATGATCCTTCCTGGAGGCGGCACACCGTTCTTTAAGGACCGAAGCCCCAATGCACTTTTGCGCTGTTTAAACACCAAACAGGGCCTTTAGAACATAAATAGAACCCTTGAGCCTGGATACAAATGAGATTCCGAGCTGAAAAAGACCTCTAATCTAAAAACAGGGTCGCTTTAGCCACGAATTGTGGTACCTTTGCTGGAATTGTTGCTTATGCCCGATTCGACCCCCCAAGTTTGGCGAAATCCTGCTTACGTCATTGTAAAACAATGAAAAATATTTTGCGGCCCGGGACGAGCAAAGTAATAACGGATGTGGTTGTGGTTACCACCATGCAGATAGCACATATCACCATGTGGTCATCATCATGCAGACACAAACCAATGACGCTCATCTTCGGGTGCGCATAGGGACAGGGCTCATCGACGTATCAGAATATCACTTTGCGAATGAACAGACAGATGTGCGATGATGTTAAGCATTCGAGCAGGCAGCCCGCCACGGAATTGTCTGAAATCGTATACAAATGCGGAGCACTTTCTTCAACCATCTTGATTGGCACTTGTCAGGCTCCTGCCTTGCCAAAACCAGAAATGACCACCGTTGTCACATACTGCTTGAAATCCGCGGCTTCCGTCTAACAGCAGTCCGTTACGCCGACGGCACGCACATCGCCGTCACTGGACCACGTAGCAGCCGGCTGTTCGCTCCGTCGCGATCTTTGATGACAGTACTGGACACAATGCACCTGTGGTGTCTCAAACATGACATGATGGTTAATGCTGGTAAAACGAAACTTTTACTTTTTACTTGCGGGCGCCAACCCAGCAAGATCCGTGAGTCAGCCACCACCATGTTTATTGTTGTTTATTGGCGTTTTCGGGCGCGTCGACTGCAATGGTCATTTTGCGCCCAACCACCATGTTTCTGATGTGATCAGGAATCCTGTTGTCCTGGGAAATGCACGCGAGACCCACTACGTGGCACCCTTTTGGCATCCATGTCTCTGTTTAATGCAAAACATATATTATTTGCCAATGTCCTATCACGCATCATTGACGCTCCTGTGTTTTCCCATGCATGCTTCTGCGCTCATGTTTTTGGGAGCGTTAGCAGCTCCACTCCTGTAAAATCAAATGTCTGCCTTCGCAGCTTATGCGGTCTCCGAACGATGTCCATTTGACCATATGTCGGATGTTCTACGGCCGTTTTAACGGCTTAGTGCCCAGCAGCGTACTGACTTATTCGACGTGTCTTTCAAACAGAACACTGACCACCGGGAAACCATAGACTTTACATTCTCAGCTTTCTCACAAACCCCCAAACACATCAGTACGTGTCAGTCTAGTCATTTATCTCCTTCTGGCGTTAAGAACAACCACGGAAGGCGAGCCTACGCCTACAGAGCCGCGCTTACGTATCACGAGCGTGTTATCAGCAACAACATCGCGCACTTAACTTTTCCTTCTTTCAGGACCCGTATATGAGGCATTATTCAAGGTACCGGACATTTTTTCCCTCTTGCATATGCCTCTTTGTGCCGCGCTCGTGCGTGCCGCGCTGTGACCCATGAACTCAGCGTAGGTCAGCGCATTCCTTCATCGCGTCATCCGCATTCCCAAACATGCGGAATGACCTGATAAAGCGCGATGCAATACCATACGATACATTGCACATGCCGATGACCGAAGGTCGCGACGGCGTGACACCAATGTCGCTTTCCGGAAGATGCAACGAACATCCGTTTCGACAGGGTGCGGGCCGATGACGAGTGCTCCAGTCCAGCACACTCGGCACCAACCATTGATCCATCCGGTCATCAGAGATTGTGTCAGCTCCGGCCGGTCCAGCGTACTCGGCACCAACCATTGATCCGCCCCGGCTATCAGGAATTGCGCCAGCTCCGGCCGGTCCAGCGTACTCGGCACCAACCATTGATCCGCCCCGGCTATCAGGGATTGTGTCAGCTCCGGCCGGTCCAGCGTACTTGGCGCCAAGCATCGATCCCCCGGTCGTCAGGGATTGTGTCAGCTCCGGCCGGTCCAGCGCACTCGGCACCAACCATCGATCCGCCCGGCCATCAGGGATTGTGTCAGCTCCGGTCGGTCCAGTGTACTCGGTGTCAACCATCGATCCGCCCGGTCATCAGAGATTGTGTCAGCTCCGGCTGGTCCAGCGTACTCGGCGCCAACCATTGCTCCGCCCCGGCTATCAGGGATTGTGTCAGCTCCGGCCGGTCCAGCGTACTCGGCACCAGCCATTGATCCGCCCCGGCTATCAGGGATTGTGTCAGCTCCGGCCGGTCCAGCGTACTCGGCGCCAAGCATCGATCCCCCGGTCATCAGGGATTGTGTCAGCCCCAGCCGGTCCAGCGTACTCGGTGCCGACCATCGATCCGCCCGGTCATCAGGGATTGTGTCAGCTCCGACCGGTCCAGCGCACTCAGAGCCAACCATCGATCCGCCCGGTCATCAGGGATTGTGTCAGCTCCGGCCGGTCCAGGGTACTCGGCGCCAACCATTGATCCGCCCTGGCTATCAGGGATTGTGTCAGCTCCGGCCGGTCCAGCGTACTCGGCGCCAACCATCGATCCGCCCCGGCTACCAAGGATTGTGTCAGCTCTAGACAGCTAGGTCAGTTGAACATGAAACCAACAGCACGGTCCAGGCGAATGCACGGTTTGCAACTGCGTGAGCGATCTCGGAACTACCAGATCCATAGGAGAACTAGCAGACGCCTGACAACTGGCCGATGCCACCCTTTTTCGAAACCGTCCTTCAACGCAACATACTGAGGACTAAACCCAGAGACCAACTGTCAAACTGCACACTTGCTCCATCAGCTTGGTTTGGCGTCATACACATAATCATGATTTGCTCTCATATCTGTAATCAGCTTTCTGGGTTCACCTTACATAAGGGGCCCTACTGGTTTCAATCAAGAAAATGTAGATTCTTTATGATGTGAAAATTCCTGCAGGTGGCTGCATAGTTAAAATCATCTCAAATGTTTACACTCCCCTGAACATCAGCCATAAGCTGTCCTCTGAAAACAATACCCTTTCCATGAATATGCATGGGCACAATTCCTTTTTTTGCTGCAGTAGATTCTTCTACTCAAATTTGCACCAGGACATCACACAGAATACTGGTAAGTGCAGGAAGATGTAAAGTAGTGGGAGTTAAAAACAATGCTGACAGTGAGAGAACATGTTTTTTTATTCACTTGCAATACCATGAGCAATGCTATGTTTTGTTTATCATGTGATTTTTTTACTTTGTTACTTCAGTTGTCAACGGATCGTGAATATCTCGCCTACTTAAGTGGTAACAGAAATTCATGCAGTGAGCCTCTACTCTATGTAGTCAATAGCTTGGCAGTTTCGCTGACTTTTTTCTTCCTTTCTTTACGTGGGGGCAGCAGCCTACATTGATGGATAGAAGCTTGGACAGGGAAATTACTGCAGGCAGCGAAGGGAAAAGAATTTGGATGGAAAACACCAAAAACAAAAATATTCATTCTATGATTATTTAGATTATCTTTTTTATATGACAAACCTAGGTTTCAGGGCTTCTGCAATATTGGTTGTGGCAAACAATACTTGAGGCCTGGAATTTGCCTTTTTGAAATATGCTGGTCTCATTCATAGAAGAGAGGTCCAAAAATATTTTTCAAATTTCCCAAATTTAGGCTACTATAGGCCATGGGCATAGGCAGCACTTCCATGATTGACTGCTGAGTAGCAGCAATGTTCATATTTTTCATAGTATTGCAGCTGTCTCAGGGTTCACTATGGCTTCTTTCATTTCCTCATGCTTCTCCCCATTGACCATACAGGTACCAAAGTAAAAAAGCCACCATTTCCCCACTATTTTGGGCTTTGTCTTTGGCCGCTGGCCAGCCCAAACGTGTTTCATGAAACTATGCCCCGGGCCATGGACACATGCTCAAAAAAATGAGCAGCCTGGTTACCATGAAATGCTCACACACCTTTTCATGGTATACTACATGGTTAACAAAAGGTATCAAGTTAAAGGAAATACTGTTGAACAACAATGTAACAATTTGGCACTACCAAATTGACAACATACACAAGAAGCAGGAGAACTACCATTTTTTCAACAATCAACACCACGGGTTTTCAGCACACCAAACCTCATTAAAAAATGCACTGAAAGGACTGCAACTCACCCCTCTCTATTGCCTCACACGACACATCTAATTAATAGTCCCATTGCCATCCTGCCAAGCCCACATCGCCCCACTTGCCTCACGCACAATCAGCCAAAGGCATTAATGCGCAAACCCGCTTATACTTCGACGCGCTCCATTACGCCACCCGCCCAACCTCCGCAACAGTAAATTTGTTGTGAACGGCAGTGAGAAGAACCACAGAGCAGTGCAGATAATATGAGCTTTTGTACATTGTGAGCTTTAAGAAAAAGCTCCCGAACAGCTAAAATCATGTTCAGCATTACGATGCAGGCCCAGGAAATTATGTACTTCATCGTGACCCCAACTACCTTTCAGTTCCGCCTTGCATGGAACCCAAGACTTTGGAGGTATATTAGAGGCAATGAAGATTTCAGATCAGTACAATGCAATTTTTTGCCTTTGAAGTGTTGTAGTCTTACTTAGAAAGAAGAAATGGTAACCCTTTGCCGATATTATTATTAAAGATATCCCTTATCTTCCCTTGGACAACAGCGCAGCAGCACTTTAGTGTCATTCGGCCGACTTCACTAGAGAAGGACAAAACATTTCAAAAGCTGTACGGGCCATTCAATTGCGCTTTTTTGATGTCAGATTCGGCTGGATCGTAAACAAGACGAAAAACATCAGGGTACAGTAAAAATTTTCAGTGAGATCGGCCAAAAAAAATGTCGAGAATTGACATCTTCTGGACTGAACTGCTTCAAATAAAACTTTTAGTAAATCCAAACATTTGGTACAGAGATATTTTCTGAAGAAAATACTTCTCAGCTCTACCACTTCTGCTGTCGACATTTATGCCGCGTGTTAGACAGTATTTGATTTTTCGTGTTCTGATGCTGTGTGTCTATTCGCGGAGGTCGTGTGTGGAGGTGGTGGGTGCCGGTAATTGCGTTTAAGGCTGTCCAGCAGCGTATATACTGCTTTTGAAGCGTGTTTCGTGCATCCTGCACTGCTCATAGCCATCTTCAGCTGTAATAGGACAGAGACTTTGGTAAAACAAGGTGCTACTGCGGGCTGTGGCGCGCTCGAACCGAAGAAGGGATCTATTTCGCATTGCTTTCGGTGGTCATCTGGAGCGTCTTTCGGCAAGATGATGTCCATCTATAGGACCCTGAATCTTGCGCTTTCTGGCTCCAAGGTAAGTTCACAACTGTACTGTTGGTTTGCAGAAAGCAATGTGTTTGTACTTACCATGGTTGTGAAGAATTGTGTGCATGTAATGCCTTATTGGCATGCCAGTATGACAAGGGATATGCTCCTTATTTTAACTAGTTTTTAAATGAAGCAATTACAACGCCCCTGGCAAAGTGATTTTGAGTTAGTTTCACAACTCAGTTTTCTCACTAACACCCACATTCATGGTAAATTGCCACAGCAGCACACCCAGGATTGTGACAAACAGGGGGTCACACATCATTGTGACGCTCTTTCATAGAAGGTACTTATATTCTGGTCCTTAGATTTTAAGATCAGTGGTGTTATGCTGCATGCATTTTTGTAGAAACATCGTAAGAACTGTTAAAGTTGTATGCATTTTGGCCTGGAAAACATGTCAAATAAACTGATACTGGCTGCTAAATGTCATCAGAATAAACACAAACTTGGTTCCCAGCTTATTTTTGGTTAACCAGCTGTAAGATCAATGGTATTAAGCTGCATGCATGTTTTGTAGAAACATCATAGGCACTGTAAAAGTTGTATGCATTTTAGTCCGGAAAAACAGGTTAAATAATCTGATGCTGGCTGCTAAATGCCATCAGAATAAACACAAACTTGGTTCCTAGTTCATTTTTGGTTAACCAGCTGTTCTGTGTGGTTAGCCAATGGCTGATGACTAGTGCAGATTGTTTGTCCCAGAATTGTTTCCAGGTTTTAATATCCTAGCACTCAAAATGCATTAGGAATGTGGCACACAAGTATTAAAATGTCACACACTCAGTAGCGAAGGAAATGACACGGAGGACGGCGGCTGCACGTAAAATTACCTCCGACAATTGCGCGTAAAAGTTCAACTGTACATATCCGTCTGCTACTCTAATCCTGGGGCACCAAGGTCAATAGAGACGGAGCCTGAGTGAACGTGGGTGCCGAGGGAGGAAAACAAGGAGGCTCCCGTCAGCAGGTATAGGGTCCTCAGCACAAGCGGAAAAAACCAAGACTAGCGTGGTGCGCCCCTAAACGGTCGATAATACCACGGCAGGCTGACATGTAAGGCCCCAGTCAGAGCACAGAGCCCTCAGAGGAAAGGGAATTGCCCAAGACCATGAATGAGTAGCCATGTGCGATCAAGAGTGGCCGGTTGGGTTGACGGAAGGAGCCTCGATAGGAGTGATGAGTCACCCGCAAATAAGATCAAAGGGAAAGGGCCCTCGATCAAAGAAGAGGGCCCCTGAGCATCGAATGGCTTAGTACCTTGCCTTAGGTGGGCCCTGGCGACAGCACAAGGCTCTCCGAACAAGTGGAGATAATCCGACGCCAATGTGAAGACCCCCTGAGCAGTTAAGCGTAACCCGTTATATGGGGCTCCAGACAAAGCGTATAAAGCCTTTCGGATGGAAAAAATTTCGTGGAGGAAAAACTGATCGATCGAGAGTGCTCAGGCATGTAAGCAGATAGTGTCACAACAGCAGCGTAGGTCCCTACGAGAAAATTTAAAGATGTCAAGGGCGACGTGGAAGGTTGTCCAGCGATCTAATTGGCCTGGCAAGTGGACAAATAGGGCCCGAGCAACAGCGTAAAGCCTCTGAACAACGTAATGAGCCTCAAAATCTCTCTTAATCCACACCTTGATCAGCTAAGAATTAACTTTGTCTGCTCATGTGCTCTTCACTTTCGCTTACACCTGTTCTTGGTCGTCTGCAGCCCCAAAACGACCAATTTTGATCTGTTTTGTGTTAGAAAAGTGCGCCTGTTCCGCCGGTTATGGCCCCTTCGGAGCCTATCGGTCCCCTCGGGGCTCAAGGGGGCATGGTCCCGTGCCTCCCCCGTCCCCCTCTGTATTCGCCACCGGCCTGAGCAGCTTAACAGATGAGCCCCTGCCAAGAACTTAAAGCCATCCATTCAAGTAGGAAGTAACCAAGACAGAATGGAGGGCCTCCGAACAATCGAGTGTGCCTGAGCAGGTTAACGAGTGGGGCCCCACGAGAGCGTAGGGCTCTCAATTCAAAGAAGAAATACCCACTACACGATGTGGAAGGCCTCTGAACGATCGAGTACGTCAAAGCAAGAGAAGACATGGGGGCCCCGACAAGAGCGCAGGGCTCTCCATTCAGAATGTGAAGAACCCAAGACCCAGTGTGGAGGGCTCTCGGAAGATCGAATGTACCCGCGCAGGTTATCAGATGGCCCCCGACAGGAGCGTAGGGCCCTACATTCAGATAAGAGGTGCCCAAGACCCAGTGTGGAGGGCCCTCGAAAGATGGAGTGTACCCGAGCCGGTTATCAGAGTCCCGCGACAGGAGGTTAGGGCCTTACATTCAAATAACCAATGCTATTTGAATATAATGCGTTGGATATCCACGAGGCCCTTAAAAAATTCAGTGTGCCAGAGCATGTAACAAATGGGGGCCCCGACAATTGTGTAGGCCCTTCACTGAAATAAAAAGTACCCAAAACCCAATTTCGAGTGGCCCGAATGACCGAATGTGCCCAAGCAGGTCAACAGATGAGCCCCCAACAAGAGCGTAGGGCTCTAAGAAATTAACAAAGATTTTGAAAGGTCCTAGACGAATGAAGAGGACCCATGAGCATCCCATGAATGTGTCGGTGGGTTAATCGAGACCAACATGAAGGGCCCCTGAGCAACTGAGAATATCCCGGCAGGCTAACATATGCGGCCCCCGGCTATAGCGTACAGAGCCTCTCGGGCAAATGGGAAAAGTCCTTGGAAGGCTCCTGATTAACAAGAGCGACCCGGTACGGTAGCAGGAAGGGCCCCAGCAACAGCCCAGGGCCGTCCGGGAAACTGTAACGAAGGTAAGTGCAGCGTGGAAGGCTCCTTAACAATCGGCTTGAAACCGCGAGTGAGCATATAGGTCGCCGGAAACAGGATAGGGTTTCTGGATAGCGTTATGAGCTTATTATGTCCCAATCACGACCCTGTCAGTCAGTGAAGAATAATTCGTGTCTACTCGTGGGCCCTTCACTGTCGGCGATTGTTCTTAGACGCCTGGAAGCCCAAAATGCCCAATTTTGTTGCGTTTTGTACAAAGAAAATGCGCATGTTCGGTCGGTTTTGGGCTCCTTCTGAGCCTATGGGGTCCTTTTGGGGTCCCAAGGGGGCATGACCTCGTGCCCCTCCCCCTCCTCTATATCCGCCCCTGAGTTGCCATGATCTTGATAGTTGTGTTTTGAACTGTTACTTGGTTTTGCAATTGTTAACAGAGCATCGCCTGTCTCAAATGACATTTTTTCCGGCATCCACTGAAATTCCACTGCTAGTAAAATGTGTTGTAAAGCTACCAGATCCGAAAAAGTATTTGCACGCGGAGTACCAAGCTTACGCATCAGAACACTCGTACACATCAACAGATGCTGTGTACGCTCGGCCTGCGTGGTGTCGTATTTTAACTCCACATGCATTAGACAAAAAGTCGCAATGATGCTGGGCAGCAGTGAGCAAATTTTGTGGTCATTCTTTTAAGTCCGATGAGGTGTGAGTTTCTGCATTTGGTACCCACTGATCCTGATCTGTGATTAGGCTGTGACTAAGTCCTGCTCCATGAGCGCAGGTGGGGGCGGGCGCGCAGGGGACACGTGCTCCAATGTGGCTTTAGCTTCACCAGATCTTGAACTGCTGGGCATGGCCTTATCATGGTATTTTTTCACTGCAGTTGTGACTTAGCTTCTCAAAACAACCCTGCCCGTTCTGTCACCAGAATGCGCCTCATAAACTTTTAGAGGCTGCGACGCATACATAGCTGGCAGTGAAAAACCAGCCGGTCACTCTCCTGGCCATTGAACGCCTCACAATGGGCTGACCACTGTCCAAACTGTGGACAAATTCATGCAGGCCGAGGACGATGCTGGAACAATACCCCATCGGTAGTGAAACGCCTCGTTTCAACCAGTCTACAAAACCTGATGATGTCTTCATATCCTACACAGTTAAAGCAGGTGCGAAAATGGTTTCAGTTTCGCAAACAACGTTGAACACTAGATTTGGCTTCGGCGTCGGCCTCGTTATTTTAAACTGATGGGCTCGGCTTGGGCATCGATTTTCTTCAGTTCAAAACGACTGGTTTCGTCTTAAGCATCGTGTTTACAAAGTTCGAAGTAACTGGCTTCGGATTCAGCTCCGCGGCTCACAAATACGACGTCACTGGCTTCTCCGGTTTCGCAGACTCGAACTTCAAAGCCACTGGGCTGCGCTTCGATTTCGGCGTCACATTATTGCCTTTCGGACTCGGATTGGGCTTGGGAGCCAAAGCCTGGCTTCGTGCCCATGTCTGGTCACCGGATGACGGGATCCGGGAGTGGCGTAATCCGTACACGCTGTGTATGTCACTGGATGACTGAACCCGGGTGTGTCGTAACCCGTACGCGCTGTCACTGGATGACTGAACCCAGGTGTGTCGTGAGCCGTACACCCGGTGGGTGTCACTGGATGACTGGACTTGGGTGTCGTAACCCTGTGGACGTGCTCTGCCTGAATTATAAGGATTATAAGGTGTTTGTGTTCCTCAGCAGAGGCTGGCAGGGAAACTGCACGGCCTTGGCATTCGAGAAACGCTGCTAAATTAGATCGCAGCCTTCTTGACTGACCGACTGACATCCCACGACAGATTGCACAAGATCGGGCTGGATCCCAGTCAGAAGTGGCACCCCGTCTCAGACACGTTCAGAAGCGGCACCTCGTCTCAGGCACATTCAGAAACGGCACCCCATCTCAGACACATTCATAAGTGGCATCTCGTCTCAGGCACATTCAGAAGCGGCACCCCATCTCAGACACTTTCAGAAACGACACATGATGATTAACGGACAGCTGGACCCGGCCAACGAAATTTTCAGATACCACGCTCGTCGATCCCAGAGGGCTATTCTGTGAAAGTACTAAACCCGGAGCACACGCAAGAGTACGCAGGTTCAACTGGAATGCCCAGACGGCATATGACTGGAGCTCCGTGCACGCCGGCCGGTCTTATCCCGCCTGGTCTGGTCTTATCCCGTCGGGTGTTATCCCCGGCAGCCAACCAGTTTCAGAAAGTGCCTGACGACGTTCGGCCGTTTATGATATACTGATGTAAACCACAGTATGAGACGCACATCTTAAGAGCTTAACAAGAACGGATGCATACAGGCCTTTGGGCTTTAAAAGCTCCGCCATCACCAGGTGAGGTACCTGGGATGTTCTCTTGAAGGAAAAAGTGTATTCCTGTGGATTTGATAGCTGCAATCTTTCAAAGTTGGTTCATGGCCATACGACAATCCCAAAATGACCAGAAACGGTACGAGTTTGTTTTGGCGGGACCTGGGCTGACTGTCTGGAATGCATGTGATAATTATGGGTCTTGTCTCATTATGTTGTCCTGCAATTTCAAAATTGTATTCTCTCACTTTGCCTCTAAACTTAAAGGTGCTTAAACAAGGTTTACGCACCTTGGCAACAACGTCAGACAACTGCGCTTCGGTGCCCAATTTCCACAAGACCTTATCTTTGGAGGCTGTGCAGGCCGCGGGCGCGCTCCGAAGGCAGACGAAGCATTACCCAGTCAACCAAATCAAGGCCCGATGAATGTATAGCGCGCTTGCGATCTCCATGGTAACCTCCGAGGCGTACGTTACTCGTTAGAGGCTCGATGAGGTCGGAGCGCGCAGGCCACGCCTGGGTTCCAGATTCAGCGTACCGTAAAGGGAATGTTCCATGTTTGAAGGCATTGAAGCAGGCATCGAATGTGATGAATAAGCTGGCGCATAACTACTGATATGCTTTCAAGTGTGAACCGCTACCCTAGACAACACAATTTTTCTATTTAACCAACACGCTCCTCCAGGCGTCGTCGTTTGATTGCGTCATCGTACCCTGCACCACATTGATTAAGGGCCAACTTACGACCATTTTATCTGGAATAATGCTCACAAACACCAAAAATGAACGACTTGATTATATTTATAAAGACCTTGATCGTCGCCCGTCAAGTGAAAAAGCAGGATTTGAATGACGTTATTATGGCGTCATGGATACCAGTCTGACCTTTAAATAGTATATACGAAAATGTCCACGCGTTTTCCTGGAACGAACTGAACGTTTTATTCCCATTGGAAGTGTTCCAGCTTCAACAAAACCCAAGTACCTGAAATTATATAACTTCTGAGTTTGGTCTTCCGCCATAACTCTTTGGACTGAAACGTAGCCGTAATGCCGTAATGGTAGGTGGTAGGTGGTATTACTACCCACGTACCATAATGTAGATAGGTGGCAATCGCCCCCATTGCGCCCATCTTAAAGCAAACCTGCAAAAATGTTTCTTCCTAAAAGGGAGAACTATCAGAAAGGGGAATGACAAAGGATGCGAGAGATTATGCCGCGACCTTTTTATTTTTACGTAATTCATTTAGCGATGGTTCGCATCTATGCCTTTGTGATCAAACCTCTTGCTAAGCACAGCTTGTTGCGTGTGCCACGAGCCCCCCACCCGAGCCGTTCCGTCCAGCTCAGTGGTTAACTTGGTCTCCGCCGTGTCCTCAGACAGGACCGCACAGCGTGTTACGTGCCGCACAATGCTGTGGGAACGGCCGTCCCGGGCTGAGGATGACCTTCGCTGACCTGCTGTCCACTGACCTTTCCTTGTGGGTCCGGCTGAAGTGTGCGCCCACTTTGGGATTCGTACCGCGTGGTGCTGGATGCCGAGTCAACATATCTTCCAGGTCATAACACCGCTCACAGGCATTCCCTGCTTCACAGGCCGTCTGCGACGCTTTACATATGTAACTCAGTTGGCATTTTGTTGTGTGTAAGAGACAAGGAGTCAAAGTCCGGCCCAGCTTTTGCGGAAGATAAAGGGATTTCGCCCGCCCAAAAATCGTGTTTGAGTCAAAAACATTGGAAAATGCAACGTAATTTCTTGATTCAGTTCATATGTTATGTCAGAATTTTTACGCCTTGCTCTGTAAGAATTCCACAAATCTTTGGCAGTACCATTGCAGCAATGCTAAGCCTAAAGTTTTGCAAATTCAACTTGTGCGTGATTCCACGCCTCCGCGATCATTTCCGAGTCCGGCTGCCAGCGCCAGGGGGTCGACGCCGGCTCTGACTTCGGGCAGCGCAGCACACACTTGACTGTATTCCGCGTCAGGCTCAGGACATCACGGCCTGGTTTCTTAATTGATTCTGGCGTGGCCAATTCCGGCGACAACATATGGAAGGCTAAACTGGCGTAAGGAATCATGAAACCCTTTTTCGGTCGTAACGCTATGGGCGCTACGCTCTCATAAGGGCCATCATGTTGGCATTACCTACTTACCGTTACAGCATTCTTAGGTGAAAACTATTCATGGGTTTTGGAACAAAAAGGGAAACCCTCTGACACAATTTTAAAGGCTAGCAGCGGGATAGTGTTGGAAGATTCAATGCCTGAAAAGATAGACAGATAGCTGGAAGGCGTGCGTGACTGCGCAGCAACAATCCGCCAAAGTCGTATCGGAGGTTCGGCGCCTGTGGGCGCCGGCAGCGGCGCCAGCTGGCGACTCCGGCCGGCCGCGTCCAGTGTGTGTGTGCGCGAGCTGGCCCTGACGCCGTGCCGGTGCCGACAGGCCGGCCTGGGAGGGGCGGCGGCGCGCCTCTCCTCCAGCTGGACCGGCCGCGAGGCGCTGCGAGACGACGACCCCGAGATGTGGCAGCTGCTGGCCGAGGAGAAGGACCGCCAGCTGCACGGACTCGAGCTCATCGCTTCCGAGGTAAGGCTGACTCCGCCGCGGCCACCTGGCGTCTCGAGCACCGCCCACGGTCCTGTAAATTCTCGAGTACAGGGCGCTGTCACTGGTGTCTCGAGTACCGCTCACGGTCCTGTACGCTCTCGGGTACAGGGCGCTGTCACTGGCCATCTAGGATGGTCCTCGCTGTCCCTCAGCCTCGCGGGCTCACGGCACAGCTACGGGCCATGTTGTATGTTATCCTCAGCCCTTCGACGTCGCCGGTGCATGGCATGATCACCGATCTTCGGCCGTGTTTCGCTGGTCCTCACATTATAGTGAGCGCGCCATCCTTTCCGTGCTCGGGCATCCTGGCTCCTCTGTGTCTTTTATCATCTCAGTCATCCACGTCGCTCTCCTAAGTCTACAACCTAATGGAAAATCTGCAGTGTCCGGATGCGGACCGGGAAGAATTTGCATACGACCGTGAGCTCAGCGTCGGATTGAGGATATGCCGAGTAATAGCATCTGATGGAGAATGAGTTACACATCATGTTGGGTCCGGCGCGAGCCAGATGGGGGAAATCGTATTGGCTCAGTATGATTTAACTATAACCCGTGGAATAACCAGCGGGGTAGTGGTTGTGTTGAACATGATCAGACTTTCAGAAACATGTATAAACACAGCGTATGCCTGGAATCTCTGGCTGCCGGACAGTTGGTCTTACTTAGTATTCTGGGCGCCATATGACCAACGTAGTCGGTGCGCCCCAAAGCCCAAATCATCACCATCATCACACTTTGTATTCAAACACACTTGTGTTTTCGTTTCATATTAAACAATTCAGAGAAATCAAATGAATGTCATCGCCTCCCACAAGTTAAAAAGTAATGATTGTTACAATTTCTGGTTGCAAACCTCTGCAGCCAACTAAGAATTGGTATTCATCGTGCGCTCAAAGGACTCTGCCTTCATGCGTCGAGCAGAACGGCACAGCCGATCGGCGCCCAGCTTGCCATCCCGCTCTGGACGGGTCCGCGCCGGCCCGATCCGAGCAGCGCCGTGTCAGGGCCTTCCCGCCTCTGAGCCGGCCGGTGGGCTCGGAGACCGGACTGCGGCCGGGCGGGCCGGGTCTGCGTGCAGCGCCGCACTGAACCGGTCGACGGCAGGCCATGGGCTGCTCGCTGGGGCCGCCGACCGGCCGTCACGCTGCAACCAAGGTCACTCGCCGGCGGCCGACGGCTCCGCTGCCCGGAGGAGCGGCCGCGACTGTGCCCCGAGGCGCCGGCTCCGAGCGACTCTGGCGGCCGGCGCGGGGCAGCGGTCGGGGAGGCCCGTACTTTAGGTTAGGCATGCCATTTAAGGACTTCTGGGCTGGGCATGTGCTGGGCTGTTCAAGGCTTTCGCGAAAAAAGACGGATAAGACTCCGTGACGAGAGTCGTGGAGAGAAGTGTGTTTTTGCCGGCTTCGAATCCGTCTGGCGCACCGTACGGCGAGCCTTGGTTGTAGTTTGTCGAAGTGGAGCGGTACAAATTAGGCGCGATGGCGAAGAAAGCTGATTTTATTCAACAAACGTTGAGATAATCCCGTGTCAAATGTCATTTTCTTTTCGAGGTGTTCAGTGAGGGTCGCCCTGCTATGGTCCGGGGTCCCGCTCACTTCGGACGGTTGACGTGCACTGCACACATTGCTAAGAGGTCCAGCTGATGTCTAGCGCGCCCGCAGGTGCTCCCACTGGTGCTCAGCCGGCTTCGCAGCCGGGCCATGTGAGCTGTTTTTACCAAGACTTCCGGATGCCTCATTTTGAAACATTTTGAAGTGACGCAAGACATTTTGTATAAACTTGGTATACCAGGTATTCCCACTTAATGTGTTAGGACTGCGTATTCTCGTCTGGGCTAAGGCTCTGTTTGCCTGTTCTTAACATTAACCTGAATTAACTGCCGGGTAAATGTTTCCCACCTTTTGCAATTCCTGTTGTATCGGGTTTCCTTAGCGTGAGTTGGTCCTATCCATTCGCTGGCCGCCCTGTTCGTGCCTGCCATAATTACTGGACGCTGCTGGACAGCGCCGGAGCTAACCGGACTGCACCGGACAGCGCCGCACCGGGCCGGAGCGGACCGGTGCGCGCCGCCGCTCCGCCGCCGCTGGACGGCGCGCACTCCTCCCGCCTGCCAGGTGACCACTGGCCGCGCGCAGCGGAGCCGCCGTCCTGGTCAGGGCTCGTGCGGACGGCAGCGGCGGCCGCCGGCTATTTATAGCGGCCGCCGCCACCGCCGCCGGCCATGGGAGAGGATCGATGCTGGCAGCGGCGGCCGGCCTGCCGCCGGACTTAGGGGAGGGGCACGCAGCGGTGCAACATAGACCGGGTCGCAGCCATCCGGCCCCACCTGGACTGGCCCGCAGCCAGACAGCGCGACGGAAACGGCTCCCCACCCGCATAACATATCATCAAATGGTAGGCTTAGCAAGGCTAGCACTGTTCTGTGCAGTGACAGGGAACGAGAGCAAGACGTGGCAGTTGCCTGTATCTGTCTCCCTAAGACATAGGCTCAGAGCATTAGCAGTGTGGTACACCGCTGTCGGCGTCGGGGGCTACCTTTAGTGCACCGCTGCTGTGTCGGGGAGCAGCCGTGTCGAGGTGCTGATCAAAGGGAGGGACCGGGGGCCATGACCCCTCGGCGGTGGAGACTCCTGACAATCCTGTGCAGTGACCGCACCAAGGGGGCTCACACGGAGGCGCCGATGTGGGCGGCGTCGCGCGCGAGCCTCGGCCATCGTCTGGGTCTGGTAGCAAGTGAGGCCCCTGTGCACCGAAGGCGCGAATGCAAGCCGGCAGTTGGCGGACGCCGGCGTTGCGGTCGGACTACCCGTTGCCCTCCAGCGCTGCGTGGTTCGGGGCCCGCTGCAGTGTGACGCGCTTCCTCCGGTCCGTGGCGGTGTTGGGCGGTACACCCAGACCTCAGCAAGGAACATCTGCTGAGCGGTGGGGCCGTAGGGCGGCAGTTGGAGCCCGGCTAGGGCGTCTGTGCGCATCAGCCCAGACCTCCTCAGCATGGAACATCTGCTGAGCGGTAGGGCCGTAGGTCAGCAGCGGGAGCCCGGCTAGGACGTCTGTGCACATGATGCTGTAGATAAGGGCGTTCGAGTTTTCTGGCAGCTACGTGACGACGCGCCTCGCCTCGGCCGCTCCCGCGAGCCAAGGCAGGTGGAGAACACTTGCCCTTAAGGAGTGCGCAAGCCATGCCAATCATAAGTCACAGCTCAGGCGAAGGCTTGCGTGGGCGGTGTGGAGACATTGACACGAAACGTCGCCGATCGGCACTGCGTGAAGCTGCAAGTTGTCATGCAAGCGATCCAGCACCACCGCCAAGGCTATCGCATGTTTTCAAAATATTTGACGGAGTACGACGCCTTAAAATAACACCGATGTCGCAAACTGTGGAAGTGGCATGACAGAACGTGAATCTGACATGCATCACTAGACGACAGGTGACGAATAAATATCCACGATTTTCTGAACTTCCGTGTCCAAATCGTCGCCAGTTAAGTGTCAACGACTTAAACTTAAGACAAGGTTCTTAACGAGATTCAAACTCGGGACCCATGCATCTGTCACACGGGTTCGCAGGCCCGTGTGCGGGCGACACCACACGAGTTACGTGCAAATCGCTGATTTCTTGACGGTAGGGGCGATCTATAATGTGGGGTGTTTATTGCTTTCTGTAAGCAACAGTTATGTAATGACAATGCTCCTGGCCAAATAAAAAATGTGCAATTTTAGAATCATTTGCACTCTATACATTTTAGTGTGTGGCTCCCAAATCCTAGGTGGCTCATCCCACCTTAAAGTCATCTAGTTTTCTGGATTTATTTTTAAACAACAGCAGTCTCGGGTCGGTCCAACAAAAATATAAGAGCTGCGGGCCTATTGTGGGTTGCGAAATCAGAGATTTCATGAGACCTGAGAAGCGTAGAAAATGACGATTGCGTCCGCCTGTCCTGTTGACAGTTGGGATCGGAAGGGCGTGCTTACGTTTGTGTAGGCCGTTATCTAGTTGTGGTGAACAAACATACAAACATAGCTTCTTGCCTACCAACAGTATTCTGTTCGCATCGCATTGCTGTCCCGTTTCCTTTTCCTATCGAGATGGGCTGCATGGCAAAGGCTCAGATAAAGGGTACGTCATTAATACCCGCTATATGTGAATACAATCTTTGTTTTGACAAGGCCAAGGTACATGACCGGAGCAGTTGAGTGCTTCTAAAACTTCCGTAAAGCTGGGCACTGGTTGGTCTCGGCAGCACCATCCGACGTTAGCAACACCACCCGACGTTGCGACACCACCCGACGTTATTAATATCACCCAATGTTAGCAACACCACCCGACGTTAGCAACGTCACCCGACGTTAGCAGCGCCACCCGACGTTAGCAACACCACCCGATGTTGGCAGCACCACCCGACGTTAGCAGCTCCAGCTGACGTTGGCAGCACCACCTGACGTTAGCAGCACCACTCGACGTTAGCACCACCACCCGACGTTAGCAACACCATCCGACGTTAACAACACCACCTGATGGTAGCAGCACCACCTGACGTTAGCAGCACCAGCCGACGTCAGCAGCATCATCCGATGTTAGCAGCACCAGCCGACGCTAGCAGCACCATCCGACGTTAGCAGCACCAACCGACGTTGGACCTCACGACCTTGATTGCGCCTGACCGCTGTTGTGTTTGGCCCTGCCGTCCAGCCCGTCTCCTATGAACTCGAGTCATGAGGAACGACCAACGCCTGCCTTGCATAGCTTGAGAAGGCGTGTAGGGAAAGGTGGGCGGCTACCGTTGGCCATTGCAACGACGATTAGTGGATGCATTAGTCAGCAATCCAGCAGTTATTATGTCCTCAAGATGTTGCGCTGCCTTCGGCTCCGCTATATCTGGGTGTCGGTCTGCAGCCATTCAGCGCGGGTGCATGTGTGAGGTGAGCGACAGATTGGCGCCAGATGTGTGGAGGCATCTGCTACATCACACAGGTGGAATCCGTCGACGGTCATGATCTGCGCCGTTTAAAAACCAATGTGTCGCTTCGCTTTGGTAGGTGTCATGTGAAAAGTGTAGTGGGGAGTATCTGAGATAATTGCGATGCCCAGTTATAAATCATGGTTGTTTGAATATATGGAGCACTGCGTGTGAATTTATCGGCAGTAAAGACTGCTGCCATATGATCCAGTATCCACAACGCCCTATAGCCCAGGTTGGTGTCATCCACAATTATATCACTGCACATCACTGAGCTAAACTGGAGTATGCCGATACCGATGCAACTAGGCAACTATTGTCAGCATCGGCGTTGTAAAGATGAGCTAGTGTCCGAAGGCAGCCCGTGCTTGTTCTCAAGTGCGCGCCTGCGTGCAGTGGTAGCTCTTGCTGTTGGCTGCGGCCCGCAGCGTCAGCCCCCGGCCTCGGTGGGTCGGCCGTGCTTGTCTGAACCCACACGGTGGCCTGTGTTTCAGAACTTCGTGAGTCGCGCCGTCCTGGAGACGATGGGGTCGTGTCTGCACAACAAATACTCGGAGGGATATCCTGGCCAGAGGTGAGCAGACCATCCGCAGACGGCAGGACATGTGCACACGCGGAGGGCATGTGTTAGCGAACTCGGATTAGACCAGTGATCCCGGAGAGAGAGCTGGCCTTCGGTCGCCCGACATGAGAGGTCGCCCTCCCACACGTCTGCTGTACCACCGCTGAAAGGATGGCACCCACCGTTTGCTCCGGAGAGACTCCCTCTCGACACGCCCACCGCTGGGCTGGCACCGGTGACCGTCCGAGGCGTTCCTGTTCACAGTCGTGCTGACACGGCCAAGTGTTTCCACCGCCTCTGCTTCGTCAGCCCACGCCCCAGCCAGGGTATCTCAAGAGCCGGGATGAGCCAAATTTTTTACGGCGCCGCCGCCGCCGATAAAAAGTCGTCATGGCCTCGCCGCTGCCGCAAAACCTCCGAGGTCTCCGGTTCAGGGCCACCACGTGTGCCGCGTGTCTCACCATGCCACGTCGCACGCTGCCGGGGCTGGCTCCCGTAGGAGCCGCGGGGGCCGTCTGACCAGCTGGTCCAGCCTCTTGACGCCGTTGGCAGTCATCGGCCTCGTGTTCGGCCACTGAGCGGCTGGTCCCGACGGTGTGCCAGGGATCGGCCGGTGTGTGCGGCGCGGGTTCCAGCGTGCCCTGCGCACCGCCGCCGCCACCGCCGCGTGCTGCCGTGGTCGGTGTCACGCCAGAGCGGCCAGCTCTGATCAGCAGCTGTGAGGGGTCGGTGGGAGGAGGTGGCTCCTCTGTCGTGATCGGCGTCACGTCAGAGCGGCCAGCTGTGATCAGCAGCTGTCAGGGGTCGCTGGGAGCGGGCGGGGTGGCTTCTGTGCCGTGATCGGCGTCTGATCGCAGCGGCCGGTCAGAGCGGCCAGCTGTGATCAGCAGCTGTCAGGGATCGCTGGGAGCGGGCGGGGTGGCTTCTGTGCCGTGATCGGCGTCTGATCGCAGCGACCGGTCAGAGCGGCCAGCTGTGATCAGCAGCTGTCAGGGGTCGCTGGGAGCGGGCGGGGTGGCTTCTGTGCCGTGATCGGCGTCTGATCGCAGCGACCGGTCAGAGCGGCCAGCTGTGATCAGCAGCTGTCAGGGATCGCTGGGAGCGGGCGGGGTGGCTTCTGTGCCGTGATCGGCGTCTGATCGCAGCGGCCGGTCCGAGCGGCCAGCTGTGATCAGCGGCTGTCAGGGGTCGCTGGGTGCGGGAGGGGGCGGTTCTGTGCCGTGATCGGCGTCTGATCGCAGCGGCCGGTCCGAGCGGCCAGCTGTGATCAGCGGCTGTCAGGGGTCGCTGGGAGCGGGCGGGGTGGCTTCTGTACCGTGATCGGCGTCTGATCGCAGCGACCGGTCCGAGCGGCCAGCTCTAATCCGTGGCTGTCAGAACTCAGAGGTGCGGGGCGCAGGTGGACCTGTCGCGGTCGGTGTTACGTCAGTGCGGCTCGGCTCCCGGACCGTGACGAGTCGCCTAGCGGGGGAAGGGGGCAGGGGCGGGTGACGGGCCCACCGACTGGCGGTGCCAGTGGAGCAGCCGCCGGAAATGGCATCTCCACTGACCCCGGCAACGGCACGCCAGCGGCGACGGCGGCGGCCGGGCGCCACGGACACTGGTTACTGGCTGGAGCGGTTGTCGTAGCCGGGCATCACTGGAAAGTGACGAGAAGGGGCCTTGGTGCCTGGAAACTGGCCGGCCGGGGACGGCGAGTGGAGGCTGCCGTAGCTGTAGTGTGACATCTGACCTCTGTGACCTGTGGTGTGACATCTGGCGGTCCTGGGTGGCCGTGCGGCTGCGGCCCGCTGGCGACCGAGCGTGCGACGCCGCGTCAGCTGACCCCGAGCGTGACGTGACGGGGATCAGTACTCCGGCCGGGCGCCGGCAGCGACCGCCGTCGGCTCCGGCGCCCGGCGCCGGCCGGCCGTGGCGGCGGCTGGCTGGCCGGCCGGGCCTCCCGCTGTTTATGTTGACTGCCGGCCGGGAACGCTCTGGCTCGTGTCGGCCGGCGCCAGGCAACGACCGATCTCCGAGTGTTGGTCGCCTGTCCGCGAGTACGGCAGAGGTCATAGCAAGGGGTGTGTCCGGGACTGGCGACCTGGGCCCGCACCCGCGGCGGCGTCCTGTTCCCCGCTGGCTAAGGCGCACGCAGTCTGAACAGTTCAGATGCGGCAAGTGCATGCTGTGTGTGGGCTTGACTTTGATTCATGAACCGGCGCATTAATACTTCGATAAATCTCATGGCCTGTAGTCGGAAACAGGCCGGCTGATTTGTCGTGAATCTGCCGAGTTCGCCCGGATAACTTGGTGTTTCGTGGTGCGCTCTCGCTCTGTTAGGTGACCTGCCAGCTCCTGCTCCTGATAACCCGCTCCCGATCGTCAGGGCGTCCCGGCGTCGCTACGAGCGCGACCCGTCCTCCTGACGCCACGCCGCGCCCGCAGGTACTACGGCGGCACCGAGGTGGTGGACAAGGTGGAGCTGCTGTGCCAGGAGCGCGCGCTGCAGGCCTACCGGCTGGACCCGGCCCGCTGGGGCGTCAACGTGCAGCCGTACTCGGGCTCGCCGGCCAACTTCGCCGCCTACACGGCCGTGCTGAAGCCGCACGACCGTCTGATGGGGCTCGACCTGCCCGACGGCGGACAGTGAGTGTACCGGGTCGCGCTGGGTCACGGGTCATGTGGGGTTACAGGGGTCACGTGGTGTTGGACCGGCCCGACGGCGGACAGTGAGTGCTCGGGTCACTGGGGTCACGCCACAAGTACCGCCACCTTCGACTCTTAATTGCGCATCGACAACAACTAACTCATGCAACAGTCAGCACAACTAGCGGGCTAAGTAACCATAAAACAGACATGCAGTAATAACCATAAAGCTTTGGGGTGGCTACAATGCTCGTTTTGCTTCGGCTGGGCAAGCTTTAGGCCGCATGGATGCGGCTGATGCAAGCTAGGCTGTCGGGCCGCCAGCCAGTGACGCGCCGCAAAACGCTATGAAAACGTCTACGATTGGTTAAGTTACCAAACTGTGGGCACATGTGTGAGCTCATCGCTAGTTTCTCGCGTCAGGGCGTAGTTATTCTTGGGCCCGTCTAATGTCCAGAACCGTGGATGGTACGTCATCTGGAGAAGGTGTACCGATGGCTAATCGTAAGCTGGCCCAGTGCTGTGTGAAGCAAACCGGGCTATGTTGGATACTGCCTTGTTTTTGCTGCGTGCTGTAGCCGGATGGTTCAGTGTTGGGCATTAGTCATGGTGGCTGTGATACGATTTCGTGGGCTGTGCAAAGTATGGTCACCAGCCGCCATGTCCTCCCCGGGGGTGTGGCGGTTCGCCCGTCGGTCTCGGTTCCAGGCGGCTGGTGGAGGCAAACAAATGAAACAAGCAGACCTTGGATAAGCGTCTTTTTCTTGGAACTTTGCAAACATTGGTTGGGTTACTTTTCAAAGATTAGGGAGGATTTTGCATTCCACGCCCAAAAGTAGCACCAATACCAATTCTGACCCCTTGCAGCAATCATTAGCCATCAACAGTCACAGAATCCGCTAGTCGACAAACCTCCGGTGCTGGCTCGTCCAGCCGGCGGGAGTGGACTCAACACTTTAAAGCCCGTCAGTGGCCCGTTAAATGCATGCGATTTCTTTTCAATGGCATACCGAAACCCCTGTTGTAAACATGTGGTGCCATGTCGCGCTCCAAACGCTTTCGTGAATTATTTCACCAGCCTTGCAGCGGACCACAGTATCCCCCTCCTCATCCAGCTCAGCCCGCAGCGTTCGCTTATGAGGCTCCGCCACCGCTGGTTCTGCGCGCGTACACTGCCGTTAACTCGTGGTGCAACGTCTTGGAGTTTTGCCTGATCCTCTCCGGTGTAAGTGGCTATGAAACTCCGTCCAGGCGTCTGGATTGCTGGGGTTTTCAATAAGTGTCGTCCATGCGGTGGTATCACAAAGCATGACGCCGCCCATGATGCATTCCATTGTAATCCAGGCACCTGGCTCGCTGTCCTGCTGGATCGGTGTCAGCACGGTTCGAAAAATAATTATCGAGTTAAAACATAAATGTGTGATGTTTTTGTTTTCAATGAGTGTGCGTGGCTTTGAGAGCTGTTTGCCCATGGTCGTGTTATGATGCTACATATTCCTGGTTGCCACTTTAATCTTCAGTTACGTAGAGCATCTTAGGAGATCACAGGGGCGTAGCTTCTCAAAATTGGTTGCTGGGGCGGGGGGGGGGGGGTTGAACAATGAAAAAAGGCTCAACCAACTCCCAAAATATGCCGACAAACAGGTTTATCCTCAGGTTTATCTCTCTTTCTTCCCAAACTTTGGCGGGTTGGCCCTAGTTGTCCCGGCGGGGGGGGGGGAGGTTAACCCTCCCACCACCCACCCAACGGAATGGGAATATATACCCCTAGTAGGTCAGTCTCAGCACATGCTGCATGGAAAGCGTCGACGTTCCGCGTTGTTTGTGTGCAGCTGACGGCGCTGCGACAATTTTGACTCGCCGTTAGTACAAAGAGTCTGAGACCACGCTATTTTGTAACACCATGAGCAGCTGGGTGAAAAGCTGTCGGTACCGCAGCTGCGTAGGGTGACTGTGATCCATAACACGGGTGTGTGCTTCCCTTGTGCCGCATGTGGGCTCCTGTCGCGGACGCCTTTTTTGCTGACACACGGTCCGGGCTCGGGCTCTGCCTGAGTGACCGCCTTGGTGTGTGATGACGAGTGGGGTCGCCGTCAGTAGTGGCCTGCCATTACATTGTCTGCCATGACCGCGCGAACACCGCTGGCCAGCGGACGCCGCGTTCAGAAGCCCAGCGGAGCTCCCACGACTCCGCTGTCCTCGCCCTGTCTGAACGGCTCACCCGTGGCAAGGCTGCGGAGAGTTTGGCGCACTGTCTTGAGACGAGTATTTGTTGTCAGCGTTCAGATGTTCGGATAGTTGTTATATTTCATCATGCTTTTCGAGCATCCCGAATTTCAACGCTCTTACCGTGCCACATTTGCAGAGATAGGTCGTTAAATGGATCGTAGGCCGAGAACATGTCAATTGAAGATGGAAACTCATTGTTTAAGTACAAAAACTCCACGAATTGCCAAACCTAGCTTAAATAACACGGCTGAAGGGGGTTGGACCACAAGCCATTTGTTCAGGGTCGCCGCAGTTCAGGTTCGCCGTTCACGTCTGGGTGTCCTGCTCCTCGCTATCACGAGATCTCCAGCGTCGTTAGCCGCTCGAGATGTGCTCTGCGACGCCTCTGCAGTAGAGCGCTCTCCTCATACACGGGCTCTGTGGCAGCGCAGCAGGCCAGCGACGATCAGCGCTGCCACACAACAGTCATGCCTCAGCGCGCCGTGAGCTGAGCTGAAGGCAGCCAGAGTAAAGCAGCCAGAGTCATCGCACAAATGGCGATTTTATTGTTGCGCCGTTTGAGCTGTGGCTGAAAGCTCCCGTCTGCTGTCGGGATTTTCTCCTTGAGCTATCGTTTGCACGGGTGACAGGTCTTTTGATGGACGTGGCGTCTTTAGAGCCCGAAACGTGTTACTGGGTTGGTTGCTGCATCATGCTGTATTGAGTGTTGGAAAAGCTTTGAAATTTTCACGTGCTTTTCCAAAAGTTTGAATGTTTCTGGGTATCGGATTTTTGGTTGCGATGTTGCAACATTCGCTCACGCTGCATGGCCTTTGGAATACTTAAATAAATATTCTGTCGGTGGGTGTACACGCCTGGTTTTCTCGCCCGGCCGTTTCACGAACGTTCATCACGTCGAACCCCAAAATTGATTTTAAAGCGTTCCGAAAGAACGCTACAAACGTTCACCTTGGTAAACGATTAGGGACAGCTATCAGGACTAAGATACACATGTTATGACCTCATTGCATGAAACACTGACGAGTTTTGAAGCATTTGAAATGTTTTTAAGTTTTTCCATGTTGTAGCAATGTTTCACCGGCTCAGAGCATGACCAATGTTTATTTGTCCCAGCCGCTGGACGGTTTTAGGCGCTTTTTACGCTGCTATCCAGCGTGCCTTTCGTGTACGACGTACTTCAGGAGCATGTTTACGTCGCCGGAAACGATCAATGTCAGCCTCTTATCCGCGACTGTCGGGCTGCTGGAACAATGGTGTCCCCTTCTTTCCAGCTTCAAAGAGCGGGAAACCAAATGTGTTCAAGGTGCCGGCTCCAGCCTCAAGCCAGTCTCAAAAGCTGGGTCGCCGGGCTGCCAGTGAGAGGTCTCGCAGTCTGGGCCGTCGTGTCGGGGCGCATGCGCAGCAGACGCGGGCTGGTGCCGCCCCGTTGCCCTAGATCCCGGGCAGTCCTGACCCGTCTCCCATCAGTCCAGAGCTGCCTGCGCTTGCTGTTAGTCTCCCGCTCTTGGCCGAGCAATGTTGGATGATCCTATGATGCGTAGGACGAATGGCCCTGGCTACGTCAGGCCGTCCACTTTGGGAATCCAGCGCAGGCTGGAGGTGCCATCCGAATGTTGACCGATCTCTCGTCTAGGGACGCGTTGCGTGGCAGTGCATCACCTAACGCTAGGTGCTGATGCCCTGGCTGCTTGCTTCTGGGACGAACAGCTGCTGCTGCGGACAGCATGTGTTGCGGCATAACGCCTGTGGGTCGCCTCGTTCCTAACTCTTTCCCCCCGTATGCGGTTCAGCGCTGGTAACGCGTCGTTTGAATGACACGTTGTGGCAGATTTGGCGTGCGTTGTCCCACATTGTGCCATTTTGGGGGATATGAGGGGTACCGCCGCCGCCTGGTCCAATCTCCCCATTGGTGCGACCCCGTATTGTCGGTCATTGATCGGACCACACCCACCACACTCCGCTCACTGGATCGCTCCTTCCAACGTCCTTAGCGTCAGTGGCAAGTCACAAGTCCGAGACACGGACACCTGGTACGAGCTGTTCACGTCACACGCCGATGATGTGTTGGCGGGGCCGTCAGTGCCTGCCGCTGTGGCCGGTGCCGCGCTCGGTCTGGCCGTGCCCCTCCCCCCCCCCCCCTCCCCACAGCTGTACTCTCCCTCACCACCCGCCGCACCCGGTCCGGCCGGTCCGTCCCAGTGGTGCTTTCCCTCACCACCCGCCGCGCCCGGTCCGGCCGGCCCGCCCCAGCGGTACCCGCCCTCACCACCCGCCGTGCCCGGTCCGGCCAGTCCTCCCCAGCGGTACCCTCCCTCACCACCCGCCGTGCCCGGTCCGGCCGGCCCGCCCCAGCGGTACCCTCCCTCACCACCCGCCGTGCCCGGTCCGGCCGGCCCGCCCCAGCGGTACCCTCCCTCACCACCCGCCGTGCCCGGTCCGGCCGGTCCGTCCCAGCGGTACCTTCCCTCACCACCCGCCGTGCCCGGTCCGGCCGGCCCGCCCCAGCGGTACCCTCCCTCACCACCCGCCGTGCCCGGTCCGGCCGGTCCTCCCCAGCGGTACCCTCCCTCACCACCCACCGCGCCCGGTCCGGCCAGCCCGCCTCTGCCGCCTCCTCTCACGCGCCATCTCCTCGCCCGCAGTTTGACGCACGGCTTCATGACGGAGACCAAGCGGATCTCGGCCACGTCCGTCTACTTCGAGTCGATGCCGTACCGGCTGGACCCGTGCACGGGCACCATCGACTACGACAAGCTGCAGGAGACGGCGCGTCTCTTCCGGCCCCGGCTGGTGATCGCTGGCACGAGCGCCTACTCGCGCCTGCTCGACTACCAGCGCTTCAGGCAGGCACGTCAGCCACCCGTACCTTCTCTTCCAGTAGGCAGCTGTTGGGAGGTCGTCTTGCTGATGGCACCAGTGCTTTGCCTGTTGTGCAGGTTATTGGCTTCAGTAAGCTCGTTGTGTTTTCTTGGATATCAGTTTGAACAATAGTCAGCTTTATGTGGCTAAAATATCTTGTAGTTAAAAGTGTCTTGATTAAGTAATGTCTTCGAGAGCTAAGCTCGAAGTGAATACTCCCAAAGCTGGCCTTTCTGGCCGCTGGACGTGTTCGCGTGCTTTAAGGCTTACAGGTATCATTACTGCAGTTAGAAGAGAAACATAGTACATCTGGTGTGCAAGCGCTCGTTAGGTGGTGAAAAGGCGTGTCTGCCAGTGCCGTGCCTCATGCTGTTGATGTTTAGGCTGCAGCACTTCATCTGCAGCTGTCCCATCTGTTGATCGGTGTGCCAGCGTACCCGGCGGCCTCAGCGTATTCGACGGCGGACCGGCGGGCCGGCGGACCGGTGGACCGGTGGACCGGTGGACCGGTGGACCGGTGGACCGGTGGACCGGTGGACCGGTGCCTCCGCCGCCGCTCTGGCCCGCCGCCCCGCCGTTAGTGTTCCGTCCGGACCGCGCCGCCGGCCTCCTGTCCGTGGCGTCGGGTCTCACCCCCTGCCGCCGCCGCCCCCAGATCTGCGATGACGTGAAGGCGTACCTGCTGGCGGACATGGCGCACATCTCCGGTCTGGTGGCCGCCGGCGTTATCCCCAGCCCGTTCGACTACGCTGACATGGTCACCACCACCACACACAAGACACTGCGCGGCGCCAGGTGAGGGTCACCAGGGCCGGGACAGACGTGGTCACCACCACCACACACAAGACACTGCGCGGCGCCAGGTGAGGGTCACCAGGGCCGGGACAGACGTGGTCACCACCGCCACGTACAGGACACTGCGCGGCGCCAGGTGAGGGTCACCAGGGCCGGGACAGACGTGGTCACCACCACCACACACAAGACACTGCGCGGCGCCAGGTGAGGGTCACCAGGGCCGGGACAGACGTGGTCACCACCACCACACACAAGACACTGCGCGGCGCCAGGTGAGGGTCACCAGGGCCGGGACAGACGTGGTCACCACCACCACACACAGGACACTGCGCGGGGCCAGGTGAGGGTCACCAAGGCCGGGACAGACATGGTCACCACCGCCACGTACAGGACACTGCGCGGGGCCAGGTGAGGGTCACCAAGGCCGGGACAGACGTGGTCACCGCCACCGCGCACAGGACACTGCGCGGCGCCAGGTGATGGTCACCAGGACCGGGGAAGTGATCCAGACGGCCCGGTTGTGCCAGACGGCCCGGCCAGCGCGGCGCCAGACGGACAGGGTTGCACGGCGTCACACGGATGCGCCCCGGGCGGTGCCGTCGACCGAGCGGTCCAGCTGGCAGCAGGCAGGGATGTGCCAATAGTACCGTGGGGATGTGGGTAGGCAGTTGGTTATGTGAGTAGCCTGTCTTTGCTGAGCTGAGTGAGGCGGGGCACGTTCGAAGTGTCGGCTTGTAGGTGAGAGTGGGGTGGTGTCCGCATCCCCGGCGTCTCCCTGTGACCGAGGCCGCGCCGCGAAGCGCCGGCCGCAGCCGACTGACCGGGCGTGCCCACGGTCGGCAGGGCCGGCCTCATCTTCTACCGACGCGGCGTGCGCTCCGTGGACCCGAAGACGGGCCGCGAGCTGATGTGGGACCTGGAGAGCCGCGTCAACCAAGCCGTGTTCCCCGCGCTGCAGGGCGGGCCGCACAACCACGCCATCGGCGGCGTGGCCGTCGCGCTCCGGCAGGTCAGCCGTAACGTCACTGGTGCCGACCGTGGAGGCTTCATGCCACGGAGGCCAGCTGTGCTCAGGGACTTGTGCTTCAGTCTGACGGCGATTCGTCGCTTAGTCAGCTGGTGACTTATTGGGATGATGTTCTGACTGAAAAATGCGTCGGCTTTATCAGCAAAGAGGCTGTAATATTCGTTTTGCGAGCCTTTTATCGTTTGGGGGCTGCTCAGCTGGAAGTTGTGAAGCATGCGTGCGCGTGTGTGATGTGAAAGTCGTGAAGCGTGCAACTGCGTGCGCGTGTGTGATGTGAAAGTTGTGAAGTGTGCAAGTGCGCGCGCGTGTGTGATGTGAAAGTTGTGAAGTATGCAAGTGCGTGCACGTGTGTGATGTGAAAGTTGTGAAGTGTGCAAGTGCGTGCGCGTGTGTGATGTGAAAGTTGTGAAGAGTGTAAGTGCATGCGAGTGGTGTACTAGCGCCTGGCCACCGGCCCTCTCCGCGACGATCAGCGCCATAGGTTGTGCAGCTAAATGACTGGATGCGAACTGCCGGCGAAGCGAACCTAGTCCCTGCTACGGCAGGCACTTCCTCCACCTCCGTGTGTGCCGTGCGGCGGAGGCGGCCCGCTGCTCTCCAGCTGTACCGGCTCGCGATGACGCAGCCTGCCCGGTCGTTACAGGCGCAGACGCCCATGTTCCGGGCGTACCAGGAGCAGGTGCTGAAGAACGCCAAGGCCATGTCGGAGGCGCTGACCAAAGCCGGCTTCTCGCTGGTGTCGGGCGGCACAGGTGGGTGGCACCCGGCCAGTCTGACCGTCACGGGCTCCCGTCCGAGCCTGTGCCGCCCCAGCTGGCCTCTCGCTGGTGTCGGGCGGCACAGGTGGGTGGCGCCCGGCCAGTCTGACCGTCACGGGCTCCCGTCCGAGCCTGTGCTGCCCCGGCTGACCTCTCGCTGGTGTCGGGCGGCACAGGTGGGTGGCGTCCGGCCAGTCTGACGGCCACGGGCTCCCGTCCGAGCCTGTGCTGCTCCAGCTGACCTCTCGCTGGTGTCGGGCGGCACAGGTGGGTGGTGGTGGGTGGTGCCCGGCCAGTCTGACCGTCACAGGCTCCCGTCCGAGCCTGTGCTGCCCCGGCTGGCCGGCCCGCCCGCCGGGACGGGCCGAGCCGCCGTTGCGCGCAGGACACGCCCATCTGTGCCGCGCGCCCTGGTGCGCCCCATCCCTCTGTTGCCTGTGGCCGCTGTGGGACGTCTGTCCGTCTGTCCCGCCGGCTGACCTGTGGCCGCTGTGGGACGTCTGTCCGCCCGTCCCGCCAGCTGACCTGGGGCCGCTGTGGGACGTCTGTCCGCCTGTCCCGCCGGCTGACCTGTGGCCGCTGTGGGACGTCTGTCCGCCTGTGCCGCCGGCTGACCTGTGGCCGCTGTGGGACGTCTGTCCGCCCGTCCTGCCAGCTGACCTGCGGCCGCTGTGGGACGCCTGTCCGCCCGTCCCGCCGGCTGACCGCCGTCCTTGCCGTCGGTCGGCAGACAACCATCTGGTGCTGCTGGACCTGAGGCCGAAGCAGCTGGATGGCGCGCGCGTCGAGATGGTCTGCAACCTCTGCAACATTACTGTCAACAAGAACTCGGTGCCGGGCGACAAGTCGGCGCTGAACCCGGGTGGCCTGCGCCTCGGTCAGTTCCGCTCCTGGGGCTCAGCCGGGGTCGGAGGAGGGAGGGGGGTCACGGAGTGTCCGGGCGTAGACGTGTAGCGTGCTGTTGTGGCAGGCGAGTCCTGATCGTGTTCGGACCGCTGGTGAGGGTGAGCAGGAATGTGCGCCTGACTTGGAGGGCGAAGAGACCAGGGTCATCCGAAGGGAAGCTTAATTCGGGTGCCTTAGCGAGCTTTTCGGGTCACGGAATACCGCCCTCGCCGCGTGTATTACCACATGTGTCGTCATCATCACTATCAGTATCACCATCATCGAGTGCCGTATTAAGTCTAAAACGTATGATCAGTTTGTGATGAAAGCGACATGAATGATATCAACACGCATGATGTCGACCCTTATGCAGAGTGTTACCATCGGATCCCAAGAGTTACCCGGTGGATCGCTCCGTGACGGTCGACACGCGGGTCGGCGGGGCGCCGGCTCTGCATGCGTCACCGCTGGCGCCCGCTGCGGCCGTCCCCTCGGTCCCCCCCCCCGCGGCCGCACCCCCGGCGCTGACCTGCGCCGCCCGCCGGCCGCACCCCCGGCGCTGACCCCCGCCGCCCCGCCGGCTGCACCCTCGGCGCTGACCTGCGCCGCCCGCCGGCCGCACCCCCGGTGCTGACCCCCGCCGCCCCGCCGGCTGCACCCTCGGCGCTGACCTGCGCCGCCCCACCGGCCGCCAGGCGCTCCCGCCCTGACCTCGCGCGGCCTGACCGAGAGCGACTTCGAGCGGGTCGTCGCGCTGATCAACGAGGCGGTCGAGATCGCCACTCAGCTCAAGACCAAGACCGGTGAGCAGCGCAGACTGCGCCCCCGCTCCGGCCGCGCCGGGAGCGCCGAGAGGACGCTGTCACACCGTCGTGGCGCCGCGTCTCACAGGGTGGTGCGCTGCGGCCTGCGGTGGTGCGGGCGTGGGTAGCTTTGTCCGCCGTTGTTGAGTTGTGGGTTTCGTGTGTTGTTGCTGGCGCCGTAGTTTCGGAGGCCGCCAGCTGTCGGAGGTCACTGTCTTTGCGGCAGAATAGCGCACGTGGAGTTGGCGCCTCACCTGAATTAGGACACCTGCCCAGCCCTGCTAGACTGAGGCGCCTGCGCCGGAGGACCGGCTGTTCGTGTAGAGACTGCATGACGGCGCCGTGCGCGTGACCCAGACACCCGTCGACTCTGTGTACTCGTGCAACTGACTGCAAGACAAGGGTGGCGTCCGCGTGAGGCGGCTCTTGGCTGGCTGCCCACTGTGTATAGATGGCGTCAGAGCGAGTGTGGCCCGGCTTTACCCGAGTCTTTGCTGATTTGCTGCCCTCTCTCTCTCTCGCTCCAGGCAAAAGTCTGAAGGACTACCGGGCGGCGCTGGCGAGTGACGCCGAAATCATCGACAAAGTGGCCGACCTGAAGCGGCGCGTGCGCCACTTCGCCGCACAGTTCCCCATGCCCGGCTTTGACGATCATTAAGGCGCGACCGGTGCCATAGCCGCTTCGCCAGCTCGGGGATTTGCGAGGCATCGGTGGATTGAAGTTGTAAAGGCGGCGCAGTGCCGTCATCGCGGTGCTGTAACGCATTGTCGGGATCGTCGCGAGTTTTGTGGTACATGATCTTTCATGTTTCCAAAAACAGACCTTAGGTACAGTATGTCGTAGTGTAGCTGCTTTAGAAGCTACCCGACTAAGTGTTATTTTGTGAATATTATTTTTACCTATTCCCTTTCGTAGAGGGTGGTTTCTATCATTCTGCTTAACCATGGCATCACTAAGTCATTTACGCCCCTGCGTTGATTAAACTAGTGCGACGGCTGGTGCAGAGCGTGTAGGAGGTCTGGGGTATTTTTAAGTGCGTAACGCCGCCCCGCCGGCGCGGTAACATTGTAATGGCCTCGCTCGCTGCTCTGCGGCTAGCGGCGTTCACTTCTGGCCACGCGCTGGCGCCTGGGTATCATGGGTAGAACTTTGTATCTCCGTGAGGAGCCATGCCCCACATGTTGAGCCCCCTCCCCCCCCCCCCCCCACACACACAGTAGCACCGCAGCTTCCCAAAGATGGACTCCGCCACCCCTACTGACGAAGTTACACCAGCGCTGGGTATTGGTGTGCAGTCGGCACCACGGACACCCAGCTGGCCCCCGCGGACTTGGCTGTGTTCTGTAAACGGCATTGGCATCGGAGCTTGCGGGTATGTTACATACCACTGCCAGGCGTATCGCGGTTGGCGGCGCACGCTCAGGTCAGCACTGCGCCGGGCTCGGCCGGCCCGACGGACGAGCTCGCTCCCGCCTCGTGCGGCGCCGCCCTCGGGAGCGACACCGCTCCGGGGCGGGGCGGCGGGCCCGGTCAGGCGGCCGCGCGGTGGCCGGCGCAGGACTGCCGTCTGTGGCGGTCTGATCGGACGGAGCGCCGCGCGGTGGCCGGCGCAGGACTGCCGTCTGTGGCGGTCTGATCGCTCGGGGCGCCGCGCGGTGGCCGGCGCAGGACTGCCGTCTGTGGCGGTCTGATCGCTCGGGGCGCCGCGCGGTGGCCGGCGCAGGACTGCCGTCGGTGGCGGTCTGATCGGACGGAGCGCCGCGCGGCGGCCGGCTCTTCGGCGGGTAAGATCCATTCCAGACCGCGATCGTTTTCGTCGCGGCTTGGTGCTGTGCTGTGGACGGTCACTCGGGTGGCCTTCCCTGGCGTCACCTCTGGGCGGCCGTCACGGACACCAACGGTCCGACGTCTTTGTTTGTATTGGATGCGGCCACCGGACCGGCATCAGCGCCATGACGTGGCCACTACCGGATAGATGTAATGTGGCACGGCCGGCGCCGCCACCGTACGTCATATATGGTGCCACAGCCTCACGAGCCCTGCCGCTGGGTCGGGGTCTCCGACAGACAGACGTCGTCCCTCGGCTACCGTCGGTCGGGCGGGGCAGGGCCGCGGCGCCGGTCAGACCGCGCGGAGGACGGGCCGGAGCTGTGCAATATGGCCGGCGAGAGGCGCAGCGCAGCGAGCGCGCGAGGGGCGCCACCGGGCGTAGTCGGCTTGTGTAGACTGGGCGCGGGTACAAGCCGATAGCCAGAGCGTGGGGTCACATAGCGGACCTGTGGGTGCGAAGCTTTGCTGGAGGCGAGTTCCTGTGGTAGGGGTGATGGCCGCCCTCGTTTTCCGTGTGAGCCGGCGGACGGCTGGGGTCTTTTGATACTAACGTACGCTGCGCCTCTTGTCCTGGAACTGCGCCGAAGTCCAGTGTTTATCGGGTTTCGGCGAACTGTAGACTAGGTAGTCAGTCTTGTGTTGTGTCAAACGTCTGCTCGCCATCGATGTTGATGACGCGTGAGCGGCGCACTACCGGCGAACAACAGTGGCTGCCCGTTCGTGCGCGTATTCACGTATCCATTCTCACAGTGCGCCACACTCGTACCCTACACATCCAACTGCGTTCGGGTGATGGCTGTATGTCGAATGTCAATAGCCGTAACAACTCCGACCGCCGCACCTGCTCCGCAGTGTCGGCGTCCTTTGTCAGTGACTTGGCTGTTGTGATTTGTTGTGAATGCCTCGGGCAGTGAGGGAAAGCGGTGAGTTTGCCATTCGTAACCGCCAGCGTAATTTGTAAAGACCTTTTATCCAGGCTTGCTGCCTGCAAACGCAGTTAAATTATTGAATTTGTGTTTTGTTCTTTATGCTGACAAGCAGCTTAGCTGCTTACATGAATCTCGGCGTGTGTGTTTTTCCACATTTCCCCCATTTCCACTTTTTTTGGTTGCTACATGGCACGTGGGACAGTAACACACATTTTCTGAATTTTCCACTCCAGCGCTCAACCGCGCAGCCCTGATTCTCACGGGGAACAGCAAGAAATCGATTACATTTATTTATTTATTTCGATTAATTTCGAAGCAAATCGATTGAAGGCGATCGCAAGGAGTGTGTAACTCGTGCTTGAAAAATAAACGTCATGGACATTATTTGAGAAAACCCGTGCACGTTTAACATCCGGACTAGTGAAATGAATTCTTCCCCTCTCCCGTCCCCCCCCCCCCCCCCACCGTCTCATTCAAAATCTGAATGTTCACTGCTCAGTCCACGCGCGGGCCGATCATGAAGCGTGTGTGTGCGACTGTTGCGAAGACTGCGATGTTTGCCAATAAATGAACCCCAGGGATACTGCATTTAGTTGATGGGACTACGGTGTGTTTTATTCGTGCGTTTCGTCCGTTTTCATGCGCTACCAGGAACCCAACGTTGGATTGTTTCTATCCTGGGCCTGAGCCCCGTTGCTCCTGTTTTTTTTTGCGTGACCTTTGTGCGCGTCTTTCTCTGTATCCTATGTTCCTGGACGTGGCTGCTTGTGTATGTTATGATATACAGACGGTTTCGCGTAGGCTTTGATAGCACATAAAACATTCGAAAAATGTGAATAACCTGCTACTACTGTCAATATTCCCCCCCCCCCCCCCCCCACCACTCTCCTCACTCTCCCTTCGTCTGCCGCATATCCGCCCTGTTCCTCGCTGACACGACATTGAACACCTCACTCGCTCAGCACCTGTATTCGGGACCGATAGCGATAGACCCGCGCCGAAAATATCCCGTCGGCAACAAAAGTACGCGGCACAAGACTGTTTCAAACCCGCTTCTGTCGGCAATTTGAGCACCTCTTGTACTAGTCGAGGGATGGCGTGGTATGGCATCACGAAGCATACATGAACGGGGCCGGGTCGCGCTTGGTGCCACGCTTAGTGCGCGGCACGGCGGCTCCTCACATTTCCCATGAGTCAAAATACAGGAACCTCTTCACGAGCAGCTCGCTGGTGCCATCGCCCGGAACGCCGAAGGCCAGCTCCCAGTTCGTCAGGAAGCTGAAAACACGGCCAGAAGACGTCAACGATCAGATGTCGCAAGGAACGCTGTACATTCCACTCAGCTGGCGGGTGCTGGGGCAGCTCCTTTTAACTCTGCTGTACTTATTGCTCTCGCCCCCTTCCCCCGCCGAAAGGTGTAGTCAGCCTTTTGAAATTAAAGTGTTTAATCAGCTTAGTCTTTTTCTTTGTACCCTCCGTCGATTCGTGTAGTCAAAACTGAGCACTGTCCACGAATGTTTTGTGAAACAAGCGCCAGACGAAACATATTCGGTTTGATCTCGCCACCGGAAAGGTTGACATGTAGTACTGACCTGTTGACATAGAAAGCCGATATAGCTGCCAAGATGGTGGGTCGGACAAATTGGCGACCCAACGGCAGAGGCAGACGTTCTAGGCTCCCAATCAGTCCGTCTACCACCACACCTGGGGACGTCATCAGCAGAAAAACTCATCCACGACCGTTTGTGTTCCGCCCGGTAACACTGCCACCACAGCACTTCATTTTCCACCCAAAGCATCACGGAACATGAACACGAGATTACTGTGAGTACCAGGCGGCTTACCAGATATCATTGTGCTGAAGAAGAACGACGGCAGGTAGTGGTGGAAGTAGAGGATGCGTTGCATGGCCCAGAAGGGCAGGTAGTGCAGCGCCCAGCCCAGCAGCAGGTACAGCAGACCCTCCCGAATGCGAGAACACTCTGAGGGCGCACCGGACACGTCAGCGGCACGGACAACACGGACCGCGCCGGGTGCACACCAGCTCTGTGGCACGGTCCAGGGGCGCGGCGCCCCCACGCCAACGGACCGCATTCACAGCGCTATTCATCAGTGAAAATGCTCGCAGATAGCGACTCAAAAAAAGTTGTTACATAGCCATAGCCCCTGACTAGTGGCCGCCGAGCAATAGACATCCGAACGACAGCTCCTCGCGGGCAAGCCCCTTATCGTCAGCAGGCCCCTGACCACGGCCGCTGACCGGCGGACTGCTGACCAGCGGTCTCTGACGCTCGCACGGCGGGGTTCGGGCCGGACCCGGCCGACGCCATGTCCCACCTGCGGGCTGCCGCGGACGCCGCTGCCGCCGCACCTCCGACACGACCCAGAGCAGCGGCAGCAGGCACAGCACTGCCAGGTTCAGGAAGTAGACGTGAGGACTGCCCACGAAGTACAGCGAGTGCCATGTTGTCCCGTGGCCCGGACACCCCTGTCGGACAGAGTGCTAGGTCAAACTCGGCCCGAACACCCCTGTCGAGGCAGAGCACAGGGCCAGACTTAACCCGGACACCCCTGTCTGGATACAGCACGGCGTCAGATCTAGGTCGGACACCCCTGTCTGGATAAAGCACGACGTCAGACCTGGGTCGGACACCTTTGTCGGGACAGAACACGGGATCAGACTTGGCCTGGACATCCCAGTAGGACAGAGCACGAGGTTAGACTTCGCCCAGACATCCCTGTCGGATAGAGCACGAGGTTAGACTTCGCCCAGACATCCCTGTCGGACAGAGCACGAGGTCAGACTTCGCCCAGACACCGAATGGAGCAGTCCATTGAACAATGAATGGAATCGTCGCGATTCAGTAAAAAGTGAGAACAGAACCATTGAAAAACCCGATTAGAGCTCGACCGCGATCAAAAATACGAGTAACACCTATCGTCCTCGTATTACTTCACAAGTGAGACTGCCCTGAGCTTAAGCTTACTATGACTCCGTCCATGCTTATACCTGGAGATGGCCACGAGCAGAACACTCACTTCTGATACACCTGTGATTTTGACGGAACGACGGTCCGGAAGAAACGGTTTGCGACGCGCAACGCACAGTCGTACATACCCTGTAAAGCACAGGCCACATCCAGGGATAGCTTCTGAGCAGCTTCTGCATGCCGTCTTCGCCCTCAAAGTCATAGACTTTGAGTTTGCTGTTGGAGTTGAGCATGACCTGGTGCAGCTCCACGATCTTGTTAAGGGTGCTCATCTCGTATAGCGCCTTCAGATCAGTACCTTCCACTGTCAGCATCATACCACGAAGGTCAGAACGACAAATGGCTGTTTTCCAGTCACGTACTTCACCCTCCCTCCGAAGGAAAATAGTTATTAATACAAGTACTTGCGCGTTTGCTTTGCTGCGCACAATGCGAATAATTTAAAACTTTTAGTTATCTATTATTTGCAGTTTAAATCACGGTTCTAGGTTCCCTGGTTGCCGAGGTATGGAGCGAAACGTGAAGGACTCGGCCGCGGGCCGCGCGCTCTACTGCCGGTCTCTGGGGCCGCCGGCGGGAGAGAGCGCATTTCGGCCGCGCTCTCTGCAACACGGCCGAGGTTGTTCTATGTGATCGGCGATTGATCGTGGGACGTGGCCGGTGATTTTTCCCCTTCCATGAGCTGTCAGCCTTTTGAACGATGGCAGCACACACTGCCGTTGCATCCAATGCCGTTGTATTGTACCGAACGATGAAAAACGGTCAGTACCGGCCAAATCGTTTGCCCTGGCTCGTTATTAATACTAAACGACAAAATGATGATGCTCAAAATCCCTAAACATGCAGCGATCGTAAATATTGTATATCCGCTGGGGAAAACTGATACGAATGCACGCATGTGCTTCATAAATTCGCTATTTGGAGGTTTTTGTGCCGATTTGGTGTTGCGTACGTAATTTGCCACATGACATCTTGTGCTTCGTAAATATATATCACGCATAGAATGCGTGACATGACATAACACATAGAACGCGACATTACATGCCCCTGCATTGCACAACAGCGCGCTCCACGTTATGTAACACGCATAAAGTCTTGCCCCCCCCCCCCCCCCGTGCGGGGATGCAAATGGCGTAGATCACAGACACTTCTCTCCACGCAATAGAGCTACCTATGGGTGTCCATAGCAGCCGGTGTATGGACATCGGCCACATCTGGTCGGTAGCGAAGCGAGGCGGCATTTCTGAGACAGCACAGCCCTGCAGGTTTAAATGGGGAGCTGCACTTCCCTTCCTCCGGAACGCTTTTTAAGTCTACTGTGGGGGAGGGGGTGGGGGTGAGGAGGGGGATAGCTTGCCTTTGGGGTTGACGTTCTCGTCGATCTGCCACAGCTGGTGTACGTCCTTCAGATTGACACCCTTCGGATCACACGCAGCCTCCCACGCGCCGAAGCCCCTGGAGAACATCGCCGTCAGCCGACGGTGCAGCGCACAGGGCACAGACGGGGTCAGCAGAATGTGGGGCATTGGAATATGATCCCTGCACCGATCCGGCCACGATCTCAAGACTGCGCACCCATACAGCCCAAATGTCATATTCAGCGCTGCCAAATTTGTCTTTTACTTTTGCACCATAACACTGAAGACAAAGATAACATGAGCTCACCGATCAAAAGCATTTGCAAAAGCATTTCTAGTTAAGTATCCGCCAGACACTAGTGCAATCGAGCCAATCAAAACTGACATTGATTTTGGATCTGAGTGTATTGGGAAATATTCGAATATCTGCACCGAAATCTCGAACTAAAACAAGGTGGCGGGCAAGTTATTTCGATACAGATCCGACATATGCGCGTCGCATTTAGTTGGAACGACGGCAACGTGGCCCTAGATATGATTTAATACATGCCAATGCGTCATTCGATGATTAATTTTGTGCAATGGGTGTGATTTTATAACTTGTAAGCTTCGAGTCCAATTCGAATATTTTTAAACCTGCCCCACCGAATCCTCAGACCTGATCCGTCTGCACCAAGCATACCCACCCGCTGGGGGAGGGGGCGTCAGTGTGGCGGTCCGCGGGGAGGCATCCGGCTCGCTCACCAGGAGGGGTACTTGCTGAGGCCGGGCCGCAGCGCGCAGCCGGTGCGGTTGTTGATCAGCCGGAACCAGGAGCCGACGGCGCGCAGCGGCGTGACGCCCGGCTCGGCGCCCGGCTCGTCCAGCAGCACGCGCCACACACTGCCCTCGTAGAACTCGTCCACCTGCCGGCGGCGCGGGCGGGCCGACCAACGCCGTCAACGGGCAGTCCAGTCATCAACGGCCAGGTCGCGAGGCGCAGCCGTAAGGCTACGGCTGTGGGCCGTGGCGTCTTGGCGTACGACCGTAAATTATGCAGTTATACGTGTCTGGCGAGTAATGACTGCACATAACAGGGCTCGGAAAGGTACAAAGCTTAGTATCAGACACCTGCGGCACCAATGATTTGAGTCGGCAACTGGATCAAAATGCTATGGCGACAAGTCAACTGCGCCGCGGGGGCTGCTGCGAAGCCTCGACCTCATCGGCCACCAGGGCTCGCTGTCAGGCCACGTTTCCTGATGGCACTGAATGACGTGATCTGCGGCGCCGAGAGCCCCGGCCGGCCGGTCGTCGGTCCGCACCCACCTCGCCGAAGCCGGTGGCCATGTACATGTGTCGGGTGATCGGCGCCCGCACCCGGTGCGTGTGCAGGTGCCGCTCGGTGAACACGTTCAGCAGGCGCACCAGGTCGCCGTGCGCCACCGGCTGCGCCACGTACTCGTCTGAGGTCATGTCGGCCAGCCGGCCCTCGTCCACGCGCTTGAACCCCCTGCGAACCGGCCGCGACTGAGCCTCCACTGACACGGCCGGCGGCAGCGCGCCACGCCGCGGCTGCCGAACACGGCTTCTGCGGGACGTGACTGCTGGCGATCCCGGGCCGATGTTGGGGTTCGGCGATGTCGGCTATCAGAAGCATCTCGTGCCGGCCGCACGTCACCGGACAGGTTGGGAAGACAGGTTGGGAGGACAGGTTGGAAGGATAGGTTGAGAGGATATGTTAAGAAGGCAGGTTGGGAGGATATGTTGCGAGGACAAAATGGAAGGACGGTTTGGGAGGACAGGTTGAGGGAGCAGGTTAGGAGGATAGGTTGGAGGGGACAGGACGGGAGGACGGGAGGACATGTTGGCAGGACAGGTTGGGAGGACAGGATGGGGGACGATCAGACGGCAAACCTGGCCAGCATTCTCGAAGTTTGGCGCACAAAAACTTGAGAGTGCTGCAGAGAACGCTGCAGGGTTACGAATCGCAGTTATATCACAGAAGGGTTAATATCACACGATAATGACACACCGATGGCTACTTGGTGCCGGTCTGAAATGAACAGTATCGAAACAAACGTTTATCGTTAGTCATACAAGCTCAATGTGCACAGGCAAATGGTGCAAAAAAGCAACAGTCAATCACCAGAGCAAAAGAAACACCAGTACACAGCGCATTGCTGACTGGTATAAGGCGGCCAAATAAGCAGATCGTCCAAGACATCGTCGAGGTATGAAACCCCCGCTTATAGTGCCTGATGATGGCACAGTAGCGAAGCGAGCGCGGTTACAGTGTATCATTGTGTAGAGGACACTGCGCGATAGGTGACGCAGCCGGTCATCTAACGGCTCCTCCCCGGGAATGGTTCAGCAGACCGCTCATACATGCTGTTTTGCCGTGATGCGTTGCGGAACACGGCGGCGGCGTCCGCAGTGACTGACAGATGGCGTTTAAGCGACGACTGGACATGATAATTTGTTCGGCTCTCGTCCCCCCTCTGTCGTTCACCCCTGGGCCCTCGATCCCTTTCCAGTTCCCTCCTCCGCAGCCTCCGGCCAACGTCAGCGCCTTTCAGCCCAGGAGGCGCGCGAAGGAAAACAGGTGACCGACGCCTGGCCAAGCGGCGAGGCTGTGATGCACCAAAACAGAGAGCAAGAACAACAACGAACAGTGGCCGAGCGACGGCGCGGATGGGTCGGCGCCTCACGACCCCGTACGACCAATCAGTGACGTCTCACGACCCCGTGCGACCAATCACCGGCGCCTCACGACCCCGTGCGACCAATCACCGGCGCCTCGCGACCCCACGCGACCAATCACCGCCAGCGCTGACGGGTGGCACCCGACGGCCGCGGCACTGACCAGGCGTTCAGTTCGTCGAGGTTCATGTCGAGCGCGATGACCTGGTGCTCGGCGCCGTACTCGGGCGGGTACAGGTCGTACGAGGTGGTCAGATAACCGCTCGGCCGCACCGCGCTCAGCAGCGTCACTTGCGAGCCGTACATCACCACTGCCGGACAGGGCGGGCGGAAGGTCACAGCCGCACATGACCACTGTCGGACAGGGCGGGCGGGGGGTCACAGCCGTACATGACCACTTCCGGACAGGGCGGGTGGAAGGTCACAGCCGTACATGACCACTGTTGGACGGGGCGGGTGGAAGGTCACAGCCGCACATGACCACTGTTGGACAGGGCGGGTGGAAGGTCACAGCTGCACATGACCATTACCGAACATGGCGGGTTGAAGGTCACAGCCGCACATGACCACAGTCTGACGGGGCGAGTGGAAGGTCAGAACGTTCACACCTGTCTCATGTTCGTGAATATTGACGTACAAAGAGCTGAGCTGCGTTTCTTCAAACTGCGCGTGATCGAGCATGGGTTCTCGTGTCTTTCCGGACAAAAATAACTTTGGTGATGATATAAATCCTGGCCAGCGCTGCGGCGCCCATGTAGCAAGGGCTCTCGCATGGCGGGTTACGGCGGGTGATCAGGACGTCTCACCAGACGGTGTGTGCCTTGAGATGTTGTGGTCCGGAAAGGAAAGCCGGAACTGCGCCGAATGAAAGCCGATTCCCGGCGAACTGAAACATTCAGACACAAGCCGTCGCCCTACGATCGCTGTTCCCTGAGATCAAAGCTTATAAACGTAATCAACATGATCGCCCAACTGATTCTATGAATAGACGTCTACAAACTCAAGAGAAACTCTTGATGCTTGCAGGTGCCGTTTTTCCGGCATATGCCACCCCAAGGCGTCCGCTTTATAATAAGCAACTTCAAGAGATGAACCATTCCCCTAAATCCTAGCCTATGAATAGAGGTGAAGTTGCTTGCGGTTATTGGGTTCCAAACAGATGAACTGTGATATGCGCACTGCAAAAGACTCACTTTGCTCCCTTGTGCAGCAGATGCAGATGAAGCACAAACGTGGAGAGATACAGCAGAATTGGCACCAGCACCAGACCAACACAGCGGGCCAGGAAGTGCTTGATCACATTCATCTGAAACAGGCAGCGGCAATCAGCTGTTTTCCAAAGCTTCAAGAGAGACGGAGAGCATTCGAAGAGAGTGACACTGCGCTCTATATTCCAGTCATGCGTGATGCGATTTGTAATTTCATTGCCTCGACCCTACGAGTGTTTGTGGTCATGCAGGCGAAAACCCGCAATGGTAGCGTTGCAAAGCCCTACATTGCACGGCAGACGACACACGCGCACTTAGCGCGGCTACAGCCGGCATGTAGCGAACTATGGGTGCCACGCGATTCAAAAATGTCTTGCTGAAACGTCGCTCGCAGAGCTAGTGGCAGGCCGAGGCGCGCCTCACGGTGAGCGCGCCGTCCGCGCGGTGCGGGAGCCGTGAGGACGCACCAGCCCAGCTGAGGTGTCGCAGTACTGCTGCCAGAGGTCGTACACTGCCTGCAGGCCCACCAGCACCACCACGAACGCGCCGACGTACTTGACGGCGAACGTGAGGCCCAGGCAAACACCGGTTTGCAGCAGCCACAACCACCAGCGCACTCCGAACGGTCTGCAGCGATGCGGCAGACGTCAGACAAAAACAGACATCAGCCACGAGCAGCCACAGCCACCAGCGCACTCCGAACGGTCTGCAGCGACGCGGCAGACGTCAGACAACAGACATCAGTCATGAGCAGCCACAGCCACCAGCCTGCTCTGAACGGTCTGCAGCGACGCGGTAGACGTCAGACAAAAACAGACATTAGTCACGAGCAGCCACAGCCACCAGTCTGCTCTGAGCGGTCTGCAGCGACGCGTGACAGAGTTCATGCAATGGAATCGAGCAACAAAAGTTTTGCGCAACGGGATCGTAATAGGAAGTAACTGGAAAGACAGTAAAACTGGCAAAACTGCGGCGACAACAAATATCACAGAAATGTTGCAACGATAGCATGAATGGTGCGCACATCTAGAACAACATATCGCAGGTACATCATATGAACGTACCCCTGCCTTGCGTGATGTGTACTCACTGATGGATCCAAGGAGGGGCCAAGAACGCTGACATTCACCTCTCGTCGAGCACGATGTAGGAACAGGACCTTTCCTTCTTAAGGTTCGTTTCCGTTAGTTGACATTGGAGTGGTATTCAGAGCTTGCCCGCACATTTAACGTTGTACCACCGTGTAACACCCAGGCATCAGCTATACCACACATGCTCATGACACAGCTGTTGGGGACATCCAGAGGGGACTGAGGCCTACCTGTCCCGGCACGACCAGAACTTGACGCTGCTGTAGGCTGACTGCAGGATGAACCACACCAGGATGGGGTCCAACAGAATGAGCCTGTTGTACGCATGGGCTGCTGAATCTGCAACGGCGAGACAGGAACCAACTTTTGTTATTGACTCAACCTACTGGTGTCTGCACCGAAGGCAAAAGCAAATGGGACGTTCCTTTTGTCAAACGCACAGACGTTTGCTGCGTTTCGGTTAAAAGGAGAAATAAACCAAAGGCATAAAGTCAGTTTTCTTTCATGTTTAATGCCTACACGTTTTCTAGCACAAAAGGGGATAGGACTGTTTTGCAATGAAAGAATCACTACTGCTCTATCGCTCGTTCACGCTGACTTCGCACCCATTCCACAGCTTAAAAAAGAGTCGGACTGCCTCTTCAGCGGCGGTCATCCAGTGACGTCACGCCCGGCACTGACCAATCATCCGGTGACGTCATACCCCAGCACTGACCAATCATCCGATGACGTCACACCCGGCACTAACCGCAGACGATCAGCAGTGTGGTGATGTACGCTGCCGAGAGCGACCGGCTGATCTCCCACACGAGCAGGAATGACGTCACCACTTGGAACACGCCAAACAGAGACACGCCCTGAGAAAAAAAGCGCTTGCCTTAATGCTGGACCGGCGGCACAGATAAACAGGTCGTTAAGGAATCCTATGGGATCCAGTGCATACCAGGTCTGCATGTGTAACCGCTGCAGCTATTGGTGGAGCCTTGGGGACTGATTTGTCGTCAGCTTGTGTGGCAGCAGCTAACCGCTGCAGCTATTGGTGGAGCATTGGAGACTGATTTGTCGTCAGATTGTGTGGCAGCCTTGGAAACCGATTTGTCGTCAGCTTGTGCGGCAGCAGCTAACCGCTGCAGCTATTGGTGGAGCCTTGGAGACTGATTTGTCGTCAGCTTGTGTGGCAGCCTTGGAGACTGATTTGTCGTCAGCTTGTGTGGCAGCCTTGGAGACAGATTTGTCGTCAATTTGTGTGGCAGCCTTGGAGACTGACTTGTCGTCAGCTTGTGTGGCAGCTTTCACTCTCACGGCTGAGCTATACTTTCGAATACCAGTCTCATCGCGGGCAGGCCTTCGGACGGGTTACAATAGAGTCAGAATTCGGCCATATCCTTGGACTCAGACCAGTCGGATTCCTTCCTGCCCATTACCAAGTGACCTGTCGACATGTAAACAGAAGTCTGTGTCTAAATCTGAGTTAAAACGTCAGCCAGTCACAGGTATCAAAGCTCCGATTCCAAGGTGGCGCGGACGGTATCATACCATGCCGTTCTCTTAAACGACAGGCCGCAACACTCGGTCACGAGCGCTGAAGGCATGTGCTAGCATAGCAGGCCAAGCCGACACGTCGGAGCGGTGTACTTACCATCCTCATCAGGATGTGCCACTGGTCCTGCGGGTACTCGTACGGGCGGTCGTTGTCGATAGGCATGGATACGTTCTGGTCGGCCATGTACCCGATGGCTGCCACGATCATCTGCCGGGGCACCGCGCGAGCTGTCACTCACACCGGACTACAGCCCGAGCTCTCATTCGCACCGGACCACAGCCCCAGCTTTCACTCACACCTGACCAAAACCCGGACTCTCACTCACACCGGACTACAGCACGAGCTCTCGATCGCACCGGACTACAGCCTGAGCTGTCACTCACACCGGACTACAGCCCGAGCTTTCATTCGCACCGGACCACAGCCCCAGCTTTCACTCACACGTAACCAAAGCCCGAGCTCTCATTCGCACCAGACCACAGCCCAAGCTCTCACTCACACCTGACCAAAACCCGAGCTCTCACTCACACCGGACTACAGCACGAGCTCTCGATCGCACCGGACTACAGCCTGAGCTCTCACTCACACCGGACTACAGCCCGAGCTCTCGATCGCACCGGACTACAGCCCGAGCTCTCACTCACACCGGACTATAGCCCGAGCTCTCACTCATGCTGGACTACAGTCCGAGCTATCACTTGCACCGGACTACAGCCCGAGCTCTCACTCACAGCGGATTACAGCACGAGCTCTCCCTCACACCAAACTACAGCCCGAGCTCTTACTCACACCGGACCACAGCCCGAGCTCTTACTCACACCGGACCACAGCCCGAGCTCTTACTCACACCGGACCACAGCCCGAGCTCTCACTCGCACCGGACCACAGCCCGAGCTCTTACTCACACCGGACCACAGCCCGAGCTCTCACTCGCACCGGACCACAGCCCGAGCTCTTACTCACAGCGGATTACAGCACGAGCTCTCCCTCACACCAAACTACAGCCCGAGCTCTTACTCACACCGGACCACAGCCCGAGCTCTCACTCGCACCGGACCACAGCCCGAGCTCTCACTCGCACTGGACCCCAGTCCTAGCTCTCACTCACACCGGACCACAGCCCGAGCTCTCACTCACACCGAACTACAGCCCGAGCTCTCACTCACAGCGGACTACAGCACGAGCTCTCACTCACATCGGACTACAGCCCAAGCTCTCACTCATACCGGACTAGGGCACGAGCTCTCACTCACAGATCTAGTCAGTGTTGCGTGCAGCACGGCTACGCACAGTGGCCGGTCGACAGTGACAACAGCAAGAGTTGGCTTAAGTCGAGGGATCGATATCAGAAAGAAAACCTTCAGCTTCTGGACTACCGGCATTGTGAATTTAGAGTCCTTATGCTGGGCTATTGGCCTTCAATATACGAGAGGATACTGCTTAAACGACGTCATAGTGCAAACCTTGATTATAATAGCAGTAGTAGTGCTGGCCATTTAAAGCTGGTCTTACGCCCGCGAGTGACGGCTTCGCCTGACTTGTGTTCACGTCACTCGCGGGCATAAAACTGGTTCAAAACGTCGACTTCTGGTAATGTGACCACTGTTTGCCTGTTAAAGTCGTTTAACAGTACCTTCTGGTACACTGAAGGTCGATAACTCAGCATGAGAAATCTGAACTCGTGACAGAGTGGATCGCAAGGATCAATATTCTGAAACGGCGAAGTGTTGGCCCGGACTTAAGGAGAAACACATACAAATTTGCACGAAGGATAGCATATTTAAAAGGTGTAATCGCCATCTACGGAGGCATTGATGACGAGAAGCTGTCAGCAACGTTGAAATAGCAAATACCGTGAAAATAAAAATATGCCTCAACGAATAAAACTGCTGTCTAACACTTGAGACCAGTGAGTTTTCCAGCATATGCCCTTTAAGCATTAACGATTAGGTTCTCTACATACACCTAACTTACACCAACCAGGAAGTCTCATTGTTTTTTTATGAGTAACGAGCAAAATGGCTTTCCATTGCATGACGCATTTCAAGGCACCCAACAAACGACCGGACCGCACGACTTTAAACTGCCTGCCCTCAAGACACTTTCAGAAAGTCATGCTATAACACTACGCGTTATAGCGTAGTGTTATAGCATAATGCGCGTAAATGCGCGTCAGCGTTACGCGGTAACCCTGCTAACCTTGGCAACTCTCCTGAAAGACGGCCATTGCAACACTCTGGTAAAGCGTATCTGTGGCGGGCTACTGGGGGCGGTCTGGTCCGTTCGCGTAGTTTTCGCATCACTACATCCCGGCATCGCTCATGTTTAGCATCACATCACTGCTCCCATGGAGCGCCCAAGGTGTCGTCTTGCCACCGCGCCAGGTGTGACTGTGCGGCTTAATCACATGGGGCGCCGTGTGCACCATGCATGCGGGGCCAAGCGGAGCCGTTAAAGCGGAAATGGGCTGACGGGTTAGACAATGACCTTCGATGGCGCGAAGTGCTCGGAACGCATCCAGAATCGCTTGCCGACATTGGGCAGTCTCCATCTCTGTGCGAATCCGGCGATGTTGCTTGGACCAATGATTAAACGCTTCCGCCATTGGCATTGGTGAAATCGCGTGAAGAACTGCCAACTTCAACAAGCAGACAATATAATGACGTCTGGACCTGGGTGGCATCGTAGTATATGACGTAGCCCTGCGTAACGCAGCGACTCTAAAAATGCGGACGTGACGAATGCCAGGTGCGGCATTTTGGCATCTTTGAAATCAAAACAACTTTCAAAAGGTGTGTGTTTTCCAACGCTTTGCCTTGTGGGTCTCGTCACGGACAAATCCACGTTAGCGGACAAATTTAGTGCGGGCGTTTCGCAAGTACAGCTGTCTTCAGTGCCGACAACTGAGCTTGGTGCGGGGTCTGCCACAGGCCCGAGGGAGGTTGGTCTATACCCTCAGCTCGGCCAATGTTGGCTGGTGTTGACTGATGATTTCCATGGAAATTTGCTAGTCCGGTTAGTCCTCGTTTTTCGGACAGCAGCGATAAAAATGGATAGTTTAGAAGTGTATAGAACGGCTTGGTGGTAACAATGGATAGTACATGAACACTGGACGTGTTCCTGATAGTTCCCTTTTGGGTTTTATTATGACGTGTGTTCTACACACTGCAGGCGGCTCCAGACACTACAGTCTCTCTTTATTGTGTTTTTAACGGCATAATTTTAAAAGAAATAACGGATGTGACGTATAGGATTCAGCACAGTTCATCTCATAAGTAGATAGACGTATACGCATACGTACCTTGCCAAGCGGTGGATGCACATCTTGAAAGAAAGTGCCAGTAAGGTAATGCTTAGAAAACCGCAGAAAGTGGACTTCGTCCCACCTAAAACGCCAGGGAGCATTGATTAGTAACAAATATGAGCGAGAACAATAGCAACAAGTCCCAAATTTCCTTATAGGCTTGAAAACGACCCCTCCCAATACGTCCATCAATGCGAAATAAAGCGGAACCGCAGTCAGCGAGGCGATGCTCATCAGTATGCCTCCCAACCGGCATGTGCACAACTGGCAGCAGGCATTCTACCCACGATCTCGCGCGGGATAAGGCTGCAACATTCTACCCACGATCTCGCGCGGGATAAGGCTGCAACATTTTATCAGTGGGACCGAGTGCTCACGATCTCGCGCGGGTTAAGGCTGCAACATTCTACCCACGATCTCGCGCAGGATAAGGCTGCAACATTTTATCGGTGGGAACGAGTGCCGGGCCGAGCGAGGACCGAACCGAGGAGCGAGCGCCACCGAACTTATCACTGGCCTCGATGCCTCGTCAGTGGTGGAGTTAGGAACCAGTCAGGACCACATCTACCAGTCTACCAGACCACATCTACCATCGCTACTACCAGTCATCTACCAGTCGGGACCACATCTACTTTGTTCGGACCGAAATTACAGCACTGCTCTCCCGTTTGCCAAATGAATTTATAGTAATTAGGAATGAAATGAGTTTACAAGACAGACCCGGGTTCACCGAACTTGCAGCATACATCGGTCTAGAGGTGTTACATTCGATTGATTTTGCTCAAACAAGTCAACATCAGCTGAACGTAACAGACCAACATCAATTGAAACCAAAACATCTGCATTCCCAGAGTTATTCCCACCATGACCGCAGTCTAGCTGGACATTTCCTGCACGGCCGAAGCAGCGCGTCATTTTTAACGTGCTAAGTGGAGGAATGTCCCGCACCCCCCCCCCCCCCCCCCCCCCCCCGCCCGCCCCCCCCCGCCCCCCCCCCCCACCCAACCCCACACAAACAACCCCACTCAACATTTCTGAACAAGTCCCGACGACCACACCACACTGAGGATTTAAAGGGGGCACTACAGAAGGAGGCCGGGAGTGGGGGTGGGGGTAGCACCAGGCGTTTTTTCTTAAAAAGAACAAATTAAAAACCCCGTGCCGCAGAGGGCAGCGGGCATTCATCTGACATGTTTCTCCCCCACCCTCAGTCCTCGCGGCGTGCAGACTCACGTGGCTGCAGACGGTAGGCCGATCTTGTAGGCCCGCAGCACTGCCGTTGCTATGGTGACAGAGAGCAGGCAGCTCCACCACGCGATGCTGAACGCTCGGCGGGTGGCTGGGCTCCTGTCGGGGAGAGGCGGGCCCGCCCTTCAGTCATCCGGCCGTCCGTCAGCAATGGTCATCAGTCAGTCAGCCGTCCGTCAGCAACGGCCATCAGTCAGTCAGCTGTTCGTCAGCAACGGTCATCAGTCAGTCAGCCGTCCGTCAGCAACGGTCATCAGTCAGTCAGCCGTCCATCAGCAGTGGTCATGAGTCATCCATTCGTCTGTCAGCAATGGTCTTAAGTTATCCATCCGTCCGTCAGCAATGGTCATCAGCCAGCCAGGCCGTCGGGTACTAGACCGCTGCGGCGGTAAACGGCGGGGCTGAACACACGGGATGCTATCCTGGCTCGATGTCGGCAATTCTGGGTCACACTTCCGAGGAGCATCACGGCAAGCACCAAACATGCACTACAGAAGCACAGCATGCCACGTGAGCATGCCATTTCCATGACGTTTGAGGTGTTTACTCTCGTCATCTCCCAGCCAACTCCTCTGCGTCCGTGTTCCTTCGCTTAGTAAGGGAATGAATGACCTCGCCGGCGACCTGCAACATCTGTCCGGGGTAGCTGTGGGCAGGCCTCGCCCGTCCGAGGGGAGACCGCTGGTCGAGCACGGCTGTATGTTCTCTGTGCCGCGCCAGCAGGGGTCGTTGCCGTACCAGTGGCCTTGTGAGGTGGTCTCTGTGACCTCGCTGCTGAGGGACATGGCCGCGTGTCTGCTGAGGTCAACCGTCCTTTAGTCATTTGGGAGCCATTTTGAGCCTTCTGATGCCGCCAGTCAGCGTGCAAAAAGACCTCGACCGGAACATTGAAGACTTTCCGACGGAGCTGTAGTCGGGCTAGTGCAACAGTCTAAAGCAGTGCGCAATATGGCGCTATGCCGTTTGTACCAGTCGCTGGTATAAAGCCTCATTGCCAACATAAACGGTGTGCGGATTTGTAAAATGTCACAATCAATCTTGACAGTTCACTTGATTCACCGGTCGTGCCTACAACGGAACAAGTGTCTCTCGATTGCATAATGTTCACCACTCATACTTACCTTTTGTTAACTGGAAAAATGAGCACATATTGGTCAAGGTATCCATTTGTGCGGTTTCCACCTTTTCCGTTTCTTCACTTCATATCGTAATATTTGTTCAATGTGATGGCTAGGGGTAACTTATTGCTAGATGGAAATTTTATAGAGATGTGGACCAGTGTGTGTGCCCATTTTCATCCTATGCATTTAACCTTTCAGCTTTTTAAAGATCAGGACACAATACCGATTCTATATACTCTATAAGCTAAAAAATAGAACTTCATAATGTAGTTTAGACTAAGCTTAACAATAACTACGCCGGTTTTGCACTGGTTTGAGTGACCTGTCAAGGTCAAGTGCGGGCACAGTCAGTTGTAGCTGGTCCACATTGTATTTTGTAGCTGGTCCACAGTGTATTTTGCTAAGAAGAAGACAGATCTATTCTATTCCGCTTACATTCCACTGATAATGAACACAGGGTCGGTTAGCTTAGGCACGCTGAGGACATTTGTGATACTGATCTTTGTTTATGACACATGACCCTGCAATGTCGAAAGACCATGAGCCGGGGGCTCTTCTCGATCACTCTTTACAACACTGTCTGAGTCAGGCATGTCCACTGTGCAGTGCAAAACTGACTACATAACTCGACAGCAGCAGCACTACGAAGTTCGGCCAGCAACGTCACACGGTAACAAGCCGCCTTGACGACTGATGTCTCACCTGCCGGGCCGTTCCTCTTTCCCCTCCCCCACCGTCAGCTCCTGCTTGAGCAGCGCGGCTAGCATGGTCACCAGCCCAGCCTCCGCGGCGCGCTGTCCGCCGGTGTCCAGCCTTCACCCGGACGGGGCCGTGCCGTCCTCCTGCCGGGGTCAACGGACGATCCGCAGCCGCCGGCGGCGCCGAGGCGGCCGGGCCGGCGCCGGCCGCGGCCGCCGCGCCCGCCCGGCCAGGGTCGGTCCGGTCGGAGCGCGCCCGCGGCCGGTGCCGCCCCAGTGTATCTGAGCCGAGCTGTATGTGCAGTGATAGTGCGTACCTGATCCATCCACGATTCATGACTCGCGGCATCGAAACATAACGTTGCGTTTTGCGCTGACATCGTTTCGTCACCGGCAGGCTAAATATGTGAAGCTTTTGGCGCGATCATACTTCTGAAGGGTTGTGGTGTGACGCGAGCCGATGCAGATAATAGTTGTCTGCGTGAATGCATATCATCAGGTCGGCGCGGCCTCGCGAAAAACTTTTATACACGACCAGTGCAATGGACCGTGTCAACAACGTGGACGCCTAATTAAACCAAAATCTACGGCACGCTAATCGTTTGTGTGAGGCGTTGCAGAACATGCCACATTTGTTCGCAAGCCAGTGGCTGGTACCATTATATGCGGTCTGTTGTGACCGCGTGACGCGCTGCCGTTGTCTGCAGCGGATCACGCCGCTGCCAGCACGCTAGACTCGGATGAGGATCTGATGCCCTCTAGACCAGCCAGAGGTCAGATCTCCCGGCCAAAAAATATCCCAGAGATTTATGGTTTCCTCTCACACTCCATTGTTGCATCAGATTGAACGATTTCCATAGATTGACTTCGCTGAAACCATGACCTGACTTCGACCTGCTGCGGGTCAGTGATCTTACAAGGTACATCTATTTTTTACATCAAACGATCTGCTATGCAATTGTCTACAGCTATGCAAAATTTGACGCGGCTACGCAGCGCCATTCGGAAACCATTCTGTAAAAACCTTTGGGGAGAGTCAGTTTGACCCCCCACCCGAGCGCGTGTTAACTAATGTGTTGTCATGTGGTCTTGTTCATCTGTGTAGGGTACGTTTTCGCAAAGTTCGCCTGTAAATGCGCTGTGTATTAATGTCATGTCTGAGTCAGGCATGCGGGCAGCTATTGTAAATGTTGAGCGAATCTGGAAGAACAGCATGCTTAAGGACGTGAGTAAGAATCCCACCCACCGAACTGTTTCTGTTCTAGAAAAGCGTGCTCCTATCTAAAACGAGTGATTGCACATGACGCCGTTATCACGTTGCAGTGGTTACGTTATTTACGTCACAGTCGGTGAATGCTAATTTCGCGCAGAACACTACAACCACGGACATTGCAGAGTAAGGCCAACCGACAGCCAGACCACGCGTCCGTCTTTGGAATGTAACTCGCTCATCACCAAAAAGATATTGGCGGCCAGGCGTTATATCGTGGCTTGCTTATGCACCATTGCTAGCAAAAAAGTGACGTAAGACGGTGTGTGAATGTCGCTTTGACCACTTCATGCAGGATTCAATGAGTGTTTCATAGAACAACATATATATATATATATATATATATATATATATATATATATATATATACATATATATATATATATATTGCGTTTGGTTGCATGTTGTTTTCACTGGAGCGAGCAGCACTCACAGCTCATCCATGTTATACGCCCCAGGCATCGTTCAGCGCACAGGTAAAGGTACCATCCGTTCGGTAAGGAACAGTCCGCCACGCTGAATGATCCTGCCGGCCGGATACGGCAAGCAGTCGCTCGACTGCGGCATTTACCGCCTTTGTGAACTGGTGACATGAGCTATGTCAGACCTGACCGTGGTAAGCCCCTATCACCGCCAGCTCTGGCGCCGCTGGAGGTGTAGGTGCTCCTCTTGCAGGTTCCCCACGGAGGGCTGCACATATGGTGCACTGCGCTAGTGCAGTGGGCATTCAGAGTGGATCTTCCGTAAAAGATTGGCAAAAGCTTGGGAGGTTTTTAGGAAGATGGTACTTAGCAATAGCGCTTCCTATCATCAAGGGCTCAAAACGAATGCAATGTTTGGTAGCCCACCCGCCCGGAAATAACGCAATTCCGTTAACACCAAAGGTAAGATTTACATTTGCATACGTGTATCCTTAGGATCAGGGTCAAACTGAAGACCAAAAACTACACCGTAGACATCCCGTTCCCAACAACGTCTTCACTGAGGTACGGTGTTCAATTCCCCGAGGTGCCCGCCCTTCCTGCCAGAGCGAAGGCAGGCGACGCCTCAGCAGCTGAACGCGTCGTAAAGCCCCAATGACACACACACACACAGCGTATTCACTGTAGCCATGATGCATACGTTGGCGCGTTATGCAGCACGGACGCTGGCTTTGGTTATGCCGTTGCATGCTGTCTTCGCGTGCCAGACATCCTCCTTGGTTTTGTCCAGGGGTATAGTTTTCCATTCACGCGTTTTTAGGGGGAGGGGGGGGGGGCCTCAGCCCCAACTTGTGTTTTAACCTCTCCCCGTAACCGTTAGAAGTAAGTCGATCAAATCCGGGAGGAAATGTTTTTTTTTTGTATATTTTGGGGGGTAGATCGAATCTTTT